TAAGCGGGGGAAAAAAAGGGAAGAGGATACACCTGTTGTTCATCCACAATACAACCCACTCATGTTATCTCAACACTATCTTCGCTCTCAAAACAAACAGAGGTGAACTTGGTACCATACATCAAAGAGTTTGAGGATCCTGCCGCTGATAAAGCAGTCAATCAGTCGTAAAGGTTAGGGAAGTTTACTAGAGCAAGTTTGAAACATCCAGGAAGGAAAAGAAAGTGAGTTTTATGATGGTTAGGTGACAGGCCTGTAGCTGGTGACATTGTCAGAGTCTTCATGTGTTTATGTTGGAGCCTTCCTGCATTAGAGCTATAGACCATGCCCTCTTTAAGTGTTATACAGTGCAGAAGAAGCACATTATTTCATATTTACTGCTGATGGCTTTCCATTGGCTGAAGAAAAAGGGCAGCACTTGGATTTTCTCCAAATAATTCCTCTTGGTAACAGAAGGAAAGTGCAGCAACGGTTGGGCAAGCGCGCACTAAATGAGTAATGACTTTTGTCTTTGCTTGTGTCCTGAAACAAAACAAGTTTGTCCATTTTTCTTAAAGAATCGACAGACAGCTTTTGTCTCTAGGCTGTTTTTTTGTTGCTGAAAAAACTCACTGCTGCAAAAAGGGAGAACTGAAGCCCAAAATAATTGACTTTTCAGAGTCACATAAGGTCAGGCAAGGCAAGTTTACTTTAAAGCTCATTTCATTACAGTTAAACTCACTGTGCTCAACATTAAAACACACACAGCAACATGTAACATGTAATAAAAGTGACTATGGTCTTTGCTTGTGTCCTGCTGATTTGTCCAAGAGTCGAAAGACAACTTTTGTCTCTTGGTTAAAAGTTTTTTTTGAAGCTGAAATTAAAATAAAAAACGTTAGGAACGCACTGCAAAAAGGATTCTGCATAAAAATCAATTAATTATTCTAACTCCAAATAAATAAACTTTTAACAGAGAGAGAATATTTCCTCACTGCTGCACAAAGAGTGAACTGAAGCCCAAAATAATTGACTTTTCAGGGTCAAATAAGGTCAGGAGAGGCAGTTTTACCTCTAGAGCTTGTTACAGTCCAACTCAATGTGCACAATATTAAAACACAACAAGTAACGTACAAAAGAATATTAATAAAATACAAAAAATTGCATCAAAAAGTCAATAAAAATGTGTGCAGTGAAAGCTTATTCTGTATTAATAACACTTGTTAGAGTTATTAATACACCATTATGTATTCCTGACACATTTATTAGATACTTTTAAGATACTAATAATAACTCTTTCACCTCAGGTACACTCCCATGTAACTTTAAACTCATGAAATGTACACAGCTAGAAGTAACATGTACAGAAGAATATAACCCTTTGACCTGTGGTGCAGCTTATCTTACTCTTTTGGTGCTTTACATTAAAATCTAATGTGTACAGAATGAGGAAACGCAGCAATATGTCGACGAAAGGTTGTGCAGGAACACCACACGCTCACTCTAAAACATACAGTAACATCTTGTTGTGCATTAATAACTCATTTATTAGAGTTATTAAGGCAGTAACTCTTTCACCTCAGGTGCACTCCCAGCTTATCTTAAACTCAATCAAATAGAATCAAACATATGTGAGCGACATGTAGAGACTAATATATGAAATAGAAGAAAATGCAGCAGTAAGTCAATGAACAGCTGTCCAGGAACTCCTTGCACACACTGTGCTGCGTCTAAAACACACACTAGCAACTACACCACACTGGCAATTTGTCAAATATCAAAATATATATTACAGCTAGAAAGTTTGGGGTCACGTGCCACAAAAGCTCAGAGGACTAGTCTGTGTTTTTGAGTGGTCTTTGACGCTTTAAGATTGTAGAAACTTTACAAATAGATGTTATTTTGTATGAAGGGTTTGCTATAAATAAATTAATAAATGCTGTACAGTGGTTCAGGGGGCAAAAAAAGACAGATCCCTCTGAGCATCAGTTCAACAACAATATAAGAAATCAGCTGTCATTGGTAAAAGAAATGTGTTCAGATAACAGGCGTGTTGCTTTAGCTAAACTATTCTTAAAACTTCACCAGGATTATAGAAAATCAGCTAAACACACAACTAACAAATCACAGTTTAAACCGGTTCATCTGACTCATCTGACTACTGAGGAGACTGCATAGACTCTTCACTTTCACTGACTTTTATGTTTTATGTGTGTATTGTTCACATTATATATTATATTACACATCATAATATATTCCTTATTATTGTATGTTATTAAGACAAAACACTGTGTAGTTTCCAGTAAAAAGAGGGCAACAGAAAACACAATGAAACTCATTTTCTTTATCACTGAGATGAGACTTTGTATTATTATCGAGTAATTCAGACCTCAGAGTTTACTCTTTGACCTCAGCTGCACTCTGAGCTTATCTCAAACAGCAGCACCATCACTGCTCCCAGTGATTGAAGTTCTTTGTTTAACCAGCTGATTACTTTTATGAATGAAATGTCTAAATTACCACAAGTTTCTGTGCAGCTGTAGAGCTCATATAAAAGTTATAAATGATATTCTCTTACAGGTTGACCCAGAAATATCACCACTTTGGATTATTCACATCATTGACAGTAAGAAAATAACTTTAAAACATTGATTATTAGTGTTTTTAGTGTTTTTAGTAGCAGTTATAGTTTAAATTTCCCATAGAAAAGCTCTGTAAGTATTCCATACATTATAGAAAAAGCAATATCTTGGTACTCACAGACTCTCCTGGACATCAACAGTAAACCCTCCTTTGATAACTACAATAAGTCTGATAGACCTGTGATATCCCATTGAGCTGTTAACGTACACAAATCAGTGCCATGTGTCAGTGACATGCTGGGAAATCTGAGTGAAACCTGAGACACTCACATTGACTCAGCTGCAGCTCCGTTTCAGATGAAATTCAAGAGTGAAAAAAGTGGAAGAGCCGAGCCTGCCGCCTCCTGAGACTGAGTGTGAGCTTGACTGGATCAACAGGTTATTTAGAGAATAGGCAGCACACACACACACACTCTCTTCCTCTCTCTCTCTCTCTCTCTCTCTCTCTCTCTCTCACTCACACACACACACACACAAACATTTCACTATACACAAGGTACTGTAGGGAGGGTAATGTCGCTCCACACTCACACACCCTCCTGGATGGGTGGAGTTTGGTTGTGATTGGCAAAGTCACAAACACACAAACATACACACACACACACACAGACCCTCCATAGGAGTCAGTGTTTTCCTCTGCAGTGCCATCAAATGTCAGTGGGGTTTGCTTTCAGAGTGCAGAGCTGTTTTAGTGTGTGCTGTGTACCATGAGCTATGTGCTGTATGTCAAACAGCCAAACAGTGAGGCTGTTTAACACCTGCTGAAACCAAACACACACACATATAACAGCAGAAGTTGTTCTCTGTTTACCTGTTATCAACTGCAAAATAAACAGTATGAGGCAAAAGTTTTATCTTTTAGCATCAGGAGACTTTGTTTCCTTTTAGCCATCTTTAAATCATCAGTTACTCAGCTTTAATTCATCATTTAGTCATCATTTAGTCTAGTGCAGTCGAAAGGAACAGTATGAGTAACCTTCATTTAACCTGGGAAGTGGTACTGAGTACATTGTTCTCCTTTTCAGGGAAAGCCCTGCCACAGTTACTCACATCCACACTTGTAAGCCGAACACCAGTATAACCAGTCTGATCTTCTGTTCGGGTTAAAGGCAGCAAAGCGGTAATAACGAGGGAGGGACGAGCTGCTCTTTCCAACCTTCTACCTCTTCTTGCTCAACGGTGACAACCTCTGATAAGATTGAAATACTCAAGCAATCAGGAGCTGAACTCTGACATAAATGATTCCTTCCACTGTTGCTCTCACTGTGTTAAACACTGATGATGGTACAAAGTCGAGCACCAACTAAGAGACTTTAAAAAAGAGCAAAAATCCAAGTGTAGCCTGGGATTTGCTACAATACAAACAATGAATTCGGCTGATTAAACGCAGCAGTCATAACATATTACCAATATACACACTGTGAGGGAGTGTCTGAGGTGTTTGGTGGAGAGAGTTCCTGAGGGAGGGGGCAGAAATGGAGAGGGCCTGGGTGAGAGGAGGTCAGTGTCTGAGGTGTCGGTGAGGTAGGAGGGGGACGTCACAGTGTCAGTTCCTTTTAATCGATGCCAGCTGGTTTGTATGACAGTTGCGAATTGCATAACAATGACGCCGAGCAGCAGAGAGGAAGAAACTGTCTTTATTTCACAGGGGGGAAAAATGTTGCAATGCCTGTAAAATGATAATTTGAAGCAAGTGTGGAAACTGAAAACAACTGCCAGTGCAACATGGGGCTTAAATTCCTGGAAAGTCATGTATTTGACACTTTACACAAGGGTGCCACTGCTTCCCATAGGGTTTTCATTTGAGTATAATCACCTGAAAAATAAGATTCTTACCTAAATATGAGCGTTTTTTATCTACAGGTACATTCACTCTAGATACGGCCTTTTTCTAGTTTCTCCTACATGATTCACATTTCACATTCTCATTTAAAGAGCTGGTTACAATCTACAACTTCTACTCCAGATGCCTACAAAATCCTGCCACCCTGGTCCTTTAACAGCTGCTGAGAGTCCGGTTTTCACTGACCTCCATTGGTTTAACTTTTCATCTGGCAGCAGTGATGTGTGTGGATACAGGTGTCAACAAACAAAGGGCAGTCACGCCATTATTTACAGCCTGGTTTTAATGTTTAACGACCGCTGCATGCTGTGAAAAGCCTGGTATTTTATCTTAACTCACCAATCTGCATGAGTCATGAAATTGTGTCATGCTGATTTCTATTAATTTCAACAACAACAACACAATGCAACACAATCTAAACTGCAAATGAGGAAATTCCCTTAATTGCTAAAAAAAAAAAAATCACCAGAATTGCATTTCTGTGTGTTTTTATGTAGCTGCGGGGCTTGTTAGGCTGCACATGCGTAAGCGTTGATGCTTGTGTGTTTGTGTTTGTGTGTGTTTGTGTGTTTGGGATTATGTCTTCCGCGGGTGTAAACTGGGGAAGGCGCTAGGTGAGGCTGGATTAGACGCAGCTCGCTCCACTCCAGCTCGGATTAAACGTCGGCCGATCTTGACGACCTTTTGTTGTTTGAGCTGTTTGCGAACATTCATTTTCTCGCACAAAAACCTCCCTCTCTCTTTACACACACACACACACACACACACACACACACACACACAAGGTGGAGGTGTGTGCTAACCTCATAAAATGTTTTGGTGCCTGTTTTTTCATTGTCCCACTGAGAAAATCCTGATTACTGATGGGTTTTTGTGTGTGTGACTGTTTGTAGGTTAGTGAAAGATTGCTGTGGCTGTAGATAAGAGGATTAGGGTGGAATTAGTGTCATTCCTCTATCGCCGCGAGGAATAGATTCATATCGATTTTAATCAGAGATAGAAAGATCCACATAACCGCAGATAAAACAGGCAGAGACAGACAGCGGGAGACAGAGTAGGAGTGAATGAAAGCTGGACGGAGAGGAGCAGAGACACCAGGACATCAGCCAGGATGTTCAGCTGGAGACTGAGGAGCATCTGCTGCAGAGATACATGCATCTAAAGATACACGTGGAAACGTATACACATGAATTTAAGAGAAAACTTCAAGCGGTCACTCATGCATTTGCCTTATTTGGAAGTCTTGCCTACGTTCTGGAGCTCTCTGGTTGAGGAAACTTCCCGCCACCGTGGGATGTTTGACCACAACCACCAGCGTTAGTCTGCAGGGCGGTCTGGACGGTCGACTGCAGAGACGTGGAGGTGGAGCTGGTGGGGGCCGCTGTGGCCGGGGGATGCTGGCGGCGTGTCAGTTGTGGCGGGGAAACCTGTGAAACATGAAGGTGGACGTGCTGACTTGCCTGGCTCTGGCTGCGGCCAGCCTCGTTGCCATGGTGACCTGCGGCCGCAGCTCCGGGCGCAGGAAGAACAAGGAGGTCTTCCTCGGGGAGAACAGCAAGTTCAAGTTTGGAGGGTGAGACACACAGATGAACACGCACACATTTGTAACAGCGTAGTGAGACGGATGATTAGTAGCATTTGGTTTCTGCTTATTAAACCTTCTTTATTTGGCCACTAGGGGGCAGCACAACACGCCGTGAACACGACAGAGACATATTATCACACTACCATGCGAATGTGTTAGCAAACGTTTTCATTTTTACACATCCAACACGTAAAGGAGCAACATTAGCATTCGTTTTGGAGTCGGGTTTGTGGTCATCGTCTTAGTTTTGCGTGTAAGCGTGAAACAAACTACAGCTAAGGCTGATGGGAATGTCATCAGTTTCAAACCTATTAAACTCCATAAGTACTGGACAGATGACATTGTGACCTTTTGATTATAGCGATAAGATAAAAAAGATTGAGGGATTCATACTTTTACTCCTATAACACTGTCAGACTCAGACCGTTTTTAAAAAACAATGAACCATACATTCATCTTCCTTGTCAAAGCCTGGTGCCTACATGACCCACAATGCAACTCGACTGCAGATTTGTAATGCGAACAGCGGCTAATGTTTCCTGTCTTAAACCATTATTATATACACTTACTATATACTTACTTACTATACTACTTTTGATACATTTTGCTGCTCATACTCATTCGTACTTTTTCTCCCGTGAGGGTTTTGGACACTTCCTCCACCTACAGTTTATAGAAAACATATTCTGACGGTTCTCAGGAAGCTGTGACTTAATTTCTAAGGAAACATGCCACGCAAGGATTCCCATGGTTCAATTCACTTTCACTTCCCTGTTTCACATAAAAACACCCTTCCAGTTAGGTTTTTCTTAATCTATTTTAAAAAGTGAGATCACAGAAATACCCTTTCCCTAAAATGTAACTTTAATTGACTGTGCAGTTTTTATGGCTCCCAGCAGACGACTGACCACTGCAGGTTTGAAATATTCCACCTTCTGGCAAAGACTGTGCTCCTCAAACAGGTTTTATTTGTCTTAAGAAGCAACAGCCGTCTTTCCTGGAACTTCTGCTGGAAAGAATGAATGAATGCAGCTTCAGTTCTGTGCTGGTGGACAGATTTCTCTCAAACCCTTCCATTAAAATCCATTAAATACTGGTGGTGAGCACAATCGTCCTCCTCGGAAACACTTTCAACACAGATATGGAGAGTAACTATCCGAATCTTTAGAATAAGAAAGAAAGAATATAAAAGACATTTGTACTTTGATCTTGAAGGTTGTATTTGAACCTAAGGTGTAGTAATAATATTGACAGCCCTATCTTGTATTTTATTACATGTTGCACACACACACTGTCATTCAGTGCAATAAAGGGTTGAAAAGTCTGTTTATTAACTCTTTAATGACTAACTGTAGTATTACTATATTTATTGTGTTCAGGAAAAGTCCCGCAGATTTATTTCTGTAAGATGTAATTCATATTTATTCAGATTTTACTAAAAATGAAAAAGAAAAAAATCACAAAACACTAATTTTACACGTTAAATATCATATTTACTCTGGATTAAAGCACATATTATTGAAACTGAAGTTGTTCTGAATCCAATGGTACCAAACATTTGATATTTGACGTTTGATAACCCCTTGTAGTTTTTGAGATACTCCATACTATATGTGTCATTAGTCACTATGGATTACTCATTTCATCCCATAGCAATACATTAAAACATACAATTGAAATACTGAACCAAGAAAACACAGGTAACACAAGTATAACTTTTACTTTTTTAATTTATATTATCTAAGAATTGTACTCTAAGCTCTAAAGTTAAGTAATATAAAACTCCACTGTGGACATTAACAGGTTTAGATCTGAACTCTGGCTTCATTCCAGAGAAACTATTTTCAAAAGACACATTTCAGCTCTTTTGTTTGTCACCACAGCTGACAGCTGATGTGTGTGTGTGTGTCTAACAGCGAGAACACAACATATCCTTCATCCAGTGAATAACGCCACAGCCCTGCCTTTATTGTTTGACAGACAGGTGACCTGTGGGAAACACAGCGCAGGAACAACACAGATTAGAGCAAACTAACATAGGAATGAGTCAGTGAAATATACTTGAGTATTTACATTTAATGCTATTTTCTACTTCTTTTCTATACTTTTTTACTAGATAATAAAATCCTTCATCCGGTTCAAATCTAGAGTTAAAAAGCACCAAGATCTAAACAGTGGATGGTAAAAAAATCCTCGTTACCTGAATAAAATGACAGATTTCTCTGAGTTTGAACATTGTTGGAGACATTTGGGATAATATAAGAACTCAACTACATATAGAAAGCTGGAGTTTATACACTGTTTAATGTGTAAAGTACATCCTCAACCAACTACAGCAGTGAAATCCTGCTTTTACATTAATGCATTATAAATTCACTTCCTCCACCACTGCTCCAGATTAAGACTCCTCCAGCACTAACCAGGTTAAACACACAGAGCTGTAATATACACAGATTGATTTCCACATTCCCTCCTCACTCTCTACAAGACGGAAAATTATCATATTTTCATAAATCGTTTGAGTGTTCCTGTAATGGAGACTGGAATTATGTCAACCAACCATTCAGCTGTGTGTGTGTGTGTGTGTGTGTGTGTGTGTGTGTGTGTGTGTGTGTGTGTTCAGTATAGTGTTACAGCATTGGTTGTGGTTGAATGCTGCTCTCTCAGTAGCAGCCCTCATTTGTCTTGCCCGACCTGAGGTTTGTGTGTGTTACTATCTTTATGAGGACCAAATTTTGTAGTTTGACTTTCAAAGTGAGGACTCTGTTTTTTTTATTTGTCCTTACTTTCAGTTCATTTAATTCTGGATTAGTTCTAAGTCAGGTGAAGAGCTAGAGTTCAGTTTAAGTTTAATTTAATTAGCTTCAGGTTTGAGATTATTGTTAAATTTGTTTGGTTTCAGGGGATTGTAGTGTTTGTTTTAAGGTTAATTTAAGGGATTATGCAGCTAGGATTTGGCTCAAATAAAATGTCTAACCTCACAATAATAGGAGACCATGTTGTGTGTGTGTGTGTGTGTGTGTGTGTGTGTGTGTGTGTGTGTGTGTGTGTGAGAGAGAGAGAGAGAGTGTGTCCTGGTTTGTTTATGTCAAGGTGTGTGACTTTCAAAGAGGCTTTTCATCAGTCAGCATAGAAAATCTCACACAGCTTTTATCTCCTTTCCCACTGTGTGCTCACCTGTGTACTGCACGCGTGTGTGTGTGTTTACCCTCTTTCTCTCCACACACACACACAAACACACACACACACACACGTAGCAGCATGCACTGCAGCTGAGAGGCCGCCATGCTCCAGCTGTAATTACACCTCCTACATCCTGAACGTCGTCTCGTTGGGGTTTCCCTGGTTGAATGTCAGACACACACACATATTGTAGTTTATAGTTTATCCGACTGTGTGTTTACTTTATGTTGTCTGAGGTCAGCGGCGCTCGACACTCAAACACTACTGACACGGTGTGATGACGTCACATTTAGATATGTGAAGCAGCGTCAGAGGTTCGAGCCTGAAGGTTCGTTCTTGACCTTGAACTAAAACAACTCTTATCACAACGTCCACTCACACATTTATGGGTCTTCGTCAATGTCCAGAGACCAAACCTGGACTGAGACAGAGGTTTGATACACAATCACCTGTTATTGGCTGACTGTCACAGGCCCCCTCAAACCTTTTGCTCCCTTCAACCACACATCCATCGCCACACAGTGACAGTCAAGCCTCATAACAACATACTTTACATCCTTAAAATGATCCAAACGTCTCACTCCTCCAACAGTTAATATATAATATAATACAGTTATTGTTAATATAATAATAATACATTTTATTTATGAGGCAAAAACTGAACAACATTAAGGAATTAAACAGCTGTGGTTGGCTTTCTATCCGACATCTATGAGGATTTTGTGTTTCAGAACATCATAAACATGATGTTTTCTCTGCCTTCATCACTGCAGGCGGTCAAAAGGCATTCTGGGAAATGTGGTGATTTAGTGCAGGTCATGTCCTTGGTCATCTTTCAATGGGGGGAGTTCACATTAAACAGTCATACAATTTAAAACAAACAGATTATGGTTCATTACTATTTATATTTCTAATATTTATTAACAAATATATTTATATCTGACTACTTTTTGGCCAACCTGACTGTAGCCTATATGTTGCAGCGTAGAGAAAGTTTAAATGTTCATGTTAATAAAGAATTTAAATAACTGCCAAACATTTCTTTGTATGTTTTATGTAAAAATATAATTAATTTAAGTAATTTAAAAACGTAAAGGACTTCAATTTGTGTTTTAATGTACTAAGTTACATTCACTTGTGTGTTATGATGCAGGAAGATAGTTAATATAAATGTTCCTTCCACTCTGAGTTTAACATGAATGCGGAAGCAGAAAAGACTCATGGGAAATGTAGTATAAAATGCTTGTTATCTGGCTTGCAGTGATTGCTCCCAGCAGCTGGTTTTATCAGTGTTTCAGTGGCACTGGGATTGTTTTGGAACATAATGAAACGCTTTGTGTGTGTGAGATAGAGAACATGTGCACACGTGTGTGCGCCTGTGTTTGTTTGTTCGTGGAGCCGTGCCACGCCTTTGATTAAGGTTATGGTTTTTTTGGCAGGATGAGAGCGAGCGGCGGGGAGAGAGTGGGAGGACAGAGAGAGAGAGAGAGAGAGAGAGAGAGAGAGAGAGAGAGAAAACCACAAAGTGTGTTTTCTCTAATCAAAACCTTCAATTACAGCCTTCATAAACCAACTAATCACTCAACGCACTGTCTGTGTGTGTGTGTGTGTGTGTGTGTGTGTGTGTGTGTGTGTGTGTGTGTGTGTGTGTGTGTGTTTCCACAGACGTATTGACTACAAACTGAAGAGGCAGGACAGCACGAAAACGCTGCTAATAAAAAGTGAACAGCTGCTGAGGATTGAGGAGCACGACTTCGCTATGAGACCGGGCTTCGGAGGTCAGACACACAAACATGTTTGTCTTTCTGTACTTGTGAGGACCCTCATACACTTGATGCATCCCCTGTCTCCTTAATGCAACCTGCAGCTCCGGAGCCACATGGGGGTATTTAATTTAATAATAAGTTCCAGTGGCTCCATGTGGCTGTGACAAAAAAAAGAGGAAATAAATATATATATTGGTGAAATGTGCCGTTGGGGCGGCTCTTTAGGGGGCGCTGTCGAGCCATTTTGTCACGCCCATGTGCGAGACCGATAGAATATGTATATTTTCCCCACCGCTGACATGTGTGCCACGTTTCATGAGTTTTGGAGCATGATGTGGATGGCAAAAATTAGGTTAATTTTGATTATTAATAATAATAATAATAATAAAAAGGGAAAAATGCATCTGCTTCCACCACCAACGCTAGTATGTTTGATCTGCAGAGAGAAATTAGCATTATAAGGCTCAAATATGCAGCTCCAGACAGATTTTTCAGTGTTTTGGGGGCCAAATAATGTCTCTTTTAATAGTTAAGGTTGTTGACCCCTCGCCCCAACGCTAACATTAACCATCACAACTAAATGACTCCACCCCTAACCGAAACCTAATCCTTACCTTCCCCTTAAAACCAAGACTTTTGAAATACTGACGACCGGCCAAAATGTCCTCACCACAATCATTACCTGAAATTGGTCCTCACAAACATAGCAATCCAATCCCACACACACACACACACACACAGACACACCTCATTTAATCTCTCATAAATCAATCCACTCACTTGCACATCGTCCCACGCTGATGATGCCTGCGCGGCTGTTTGATGATGTGATAATGGGCACTGGGTCACCCAGACAACGGATGTGTCAATCCCAACTCGCCAACGCTGACCCAGATTACACCATTGTGTGTCAGTACGAGTGTGTGTGTGTGCGGGTGCGTGTGTGAGCATTAATGCATTTGAAATACAGTAAGACTCTGTGTGCTCACCCAAATGTGATTGTGTGTCCCTGTGTGTATCGTGTGTGTGTGTGTGTGTGTGTTTGTGTGTGTATTGTGTGAGTCGGGGGGATTCGTGTGCATTAATCTGGATTATATTCCAGGTCTGGAGCAGATGGAGGGGTGGGAAACAAACTGACGTCTGCAGTGAAGATCATCAGTATCAAACACACGGATATAGACGCAACTGTTTCCATAATCTGCATTGTGGATTAAATTATGAATTAAAAGCTCGTGAGGAGATAAATGCTGTGGATCTATCTTTGTGTATTTACATGAACAGATATTTATTGTTACCCAAAGTCTAAAGCAAACTAAAGCACTTTGGTTCGGTGTGAATCTCTTTGTGACTTACTGGTTTGAGGAGTACTGATTTAAAGCCTCGACTTTGGTGTTATGGTCGTTGCCGTGTTGGTTTTCTGGAGCCGCCAGCGGTGAGCGGTTGCACTTATTTTCGGCTCGTCCGTAGCAGAGAACAACGCCGGCTCGCCTTGTCACACACACGTTCTTTTATTCCAGATAAACAAGAGAAAAAAGGCAACAGAATATTGATTCATATTTCATCTGCACTGCCTAGTTTGACTGTTTGATCTGAGTTTGTCAGTCACAATGAAGCCCCGCCCTAAAGCATTCCCTGCTTTATCATATATTTTACTCACTCAATCATTTACTAAATGAACATCATGCTGTACGGAAGAAGACTTGAGGCCATAAACTCTTTACTGAGCTAATAAATCAAGTGAGAAGTTAACTAAATTCTCCATAAGACTCTTTTCATGCAGCCTGCTGGCCATTAAAAAGAATACAGGTTTAAGACTTAACTTCACCGACCCATTAATACTCTCAGTGGTCTGGAAAAGATGTTGGTTTTGGTTAAATATAGAAAAACACACATTAACACGTCACTTTTTAAGCATTTAACTTCTAAACTGTTAAATAACTCAAATCCAGAATCCAGAACAGATATTTTACCTTCTGTCTCGACAGAACTGCGAGGTCAACAGTAGATATGCTTTGTCCCCACAGGAATGTGAGCTTCTATCTATGTGCAACGCTGTATTGGGTTGCAACAAAAGTTCAACCTGGTCCAGGTTTTGTGTCGCCCCCCCCCACAGTGGTCCCTCGAGCGAACGTCCTGTCAGATAACAGTCAAGAAACCAACGTCGAGTGCTCGTATAAACACAGGATTCATCACTGATCCTGACCCGATATCTTTTTACCGTCATTATTTGTCGCGACCACAAAAGGATGCGTGTCACTAAACTGTAAACATCTTTTTAAGTTTTTGAACAAAGGACAATGCTGTGATTTTTCTGATGATGACAGTCTCTTCCTTTCATTCTTCTATTGATCTCAAAATATGAAAATCCTCAAAAACTGTTTTTTTAATGAAAACCAAACTCTCCGCGTCAATGACTGCTTCTGGAAATACCTGGAAATCTTATTTGGAATAAAAAATACTCCTTTATAGCTGCAAATCATGCATCATTAAAGTATTTACTTGAGTAAAAGTAGGTAAATATAAATATATTATGAAGTATTACGCAACTAAATTATTATTACAGATTAATTAACATAAAAGTTGCTATTTTATACAACAACAACAATACCAACAATATAAATAAACCCTCTCAAAGAGCAATCACTACTGGCAGTCCTACATATTTTATTTTATTTTAGTTTTTTTATCTGTAAAGTTGTGCAGTTGTCGTATAAATAAAGCACAAATACCTCTGGAATATAGTGAAGTAGAAGTAATATTAAATTAAAATACTCAAGTAAAACTACCTTAGAAGCAACGGTGAAGTATTGAGATCCTTGATTAAAATAAAAGTACTGATACCACAGTGTAAAAATACTCAAAATACAAGTGAAAGTCCTGCACTGAAAATGTGACTGAAGTAGAAGTGTGTAAGTATAATCAGGAAAATGTACTTGAAGTATTAAAAGTATAAAAATGTCCTGTTGTACTATTATATATAATATAACTAGAATATTCTGACTCATGTATTAATGTAAAAGCAGGATTTTATTGTTTGCAACTAATGATTCATTTCTTTATGGCTCAATCTGCTGCTCTTTATTAATCCATTGATTGTTTGGTATTTATTATTTAAGTACTTTAGTTTGTAGTGAAGTACAGTACTCGAGTAAATGTTTCTGACTCACACAGTCTCACACACACTGTCGCCGTCTGTCTCCTCCGTCTATATGGTCAGTTGGCGTCCTGCATATCTCTGTGGTCCTTGCCCGTCGTCCAGGGTGGGGACAACAAAAGCACCACTGTCTGCCCCACGGCCCTGCGGCATTTCCACAGACTATAATTTTACACTGAGGGAAATCTCAGATTTTCCTTTCTCAGATAAGCCTATAGCTGCTCTATGTGTGTGTGTGTGTGTGTGTGTGTGTGTGTGTGTGTGTGTGTGTGTGTGTGTGTGTATGACCCCAGAAGCCGAAAAATTAAAACCATTCCCTCCTCACTTCCCTCCAGAGACCAGAGAGTCCTGAAATACACTGTGTGACATTTATTGTTATTTCTTGCATGTGCGAAGGACTCGTGTCGTGTTTCTATATCGAGGTCAACCTTTAAAGGTTGTCCGTGAACTTAAATTAATCCCTATAAAACGTCCCATCATCCCCTCTTTCTGCATTATAGCGAGATGTCAAATGCTTGTAACTGGTTTACAAGCCGGGCCTGTATTCTGCTTGTGCACTTCCAAAAACACGCTCTTCAGTGTGTGACCTCACCTAGCACCAGTTCCAGGTAACAAACCTCAAATGTGATTGGCAGATTGGTTCCTATCATAAAAACAAAACAGGTTTGGTAGCTTAAAAGCGTCTTGTTTACCACTGTGGTTCGACAGGAAGAAAAAACCTGCCTCACTGTACTTTGACACAGTTTGAGTAATTAAATCCATGAAAAATAATCAACAAAGTTGTCTGTCTACAGGTAACGTACAGTCACACAACTCTACTTTATTTTCTTACTTACAGTAATAAATATGTTTGCTGTTTTGTGTCCCAGCTTGCAAAAATAAAACTCCAAAAATGCCATGGCTGCTTGTGGTTTGAAGAAAGCAAGTAAAAAGGGGGACAATTAACAAAGTTTAACAAAGCTGTGGATGTTCTCACACCTAACCTAAATAAATACTGTCGCTCACTTCAAAATATTTAGCATTATTTCTGCACAGGTTGTTGGGTATGATTTATTATTAAAACATCATATTTTATAAGCTCCTCATATATTTTGTGTGTAGAAATCTTTGTTTGTGAAGTAACTGAAGCTGTCAGATAAATGTAAGGAAGTAAAAAGTACAATATTTCCCTCAGAAATGTAGTTGCTTGAAAGGAAAGGTACCTCAGATTTGTACTTAAGTAGTTCTTGAGTAAATGTATACTTTACAGAAATGACAATAACTGGAACACAACTGTCAGAAAAAGTCTAAAACACAGCAAAAATCAACTGTTTGACCATTTCGGGTCAGCCGGGATGTAAAGCAAACGTTATTTGCAGTGAGTCCTTTACGTGGAAAACCACTGGTGTGGTTCTCTAAAGGTTTAGTAAATAAAGGCTGTGTATTCCAGTCTGCTGTGAGCTTTCATTCCATTACATTGTGTCAGTGTTACGCATGCCTGGGTTGAGTCAGTATGGATTGTGTAGGAGTCTGACGTTCACGTTCTCCCAAAGCTGCCCTGAGAATCACCTCTTAATCCCGCTCCACCTCTTTCCTCTCCCCCCTTCCTCAGGTTGGAAGGCATGTGTGAACCAACTTGGCTATAAACCTGATTCCGATACCGGACAGTCAAACCGAAACACGGCGAGCGCCGACTGAAACGTCCTGAGACCTTAAAGCTGCATTGGGCTGCTTATGTCTGCAGGAATTGATCCGTCTGCAGCGTTGTGTTCTGGGATTAAAAGATTCGGAAATGCTGAGCACACAAACATTTTGGGACAACAACATGACCTTAAAGCTGCACAAAGCATGATTTTTATGTGTTATTAAGGTAAATCTGCGGCGAGATATTGTAGATTTACCCAAATAAAAGTCAAGAGCTGGATTTAGTGACCAGCAGGACAATCTGTGCAGGAGTACAAACAATGAACTTTGCTGTCATTTGGGGTCATACAACGACAGAATATCCGTGTTTTTATGGCCGTATCATCCACAGTGCATCTCTTCACGCACCGACAGAAGTGTTTGTTGTTTTATTAAAGCTAAGCCAACACAAATTCAAGGGCCTGTCAACCGCATCACTAATCTCATTAATCACAGAAACAAATTGACCTCCTGAGGCTGAATTTCTCTGTTAGTGAAACAGGCTGAGCAGGAACAACCATGACCAACTATTTCCTCCAGTTAACCTGTATTTCTTATCTCTATTCCTTCAGTTTGCCAGAACCGTTAACATTAACATCGTGCAGATAAAGCCAAGGCTCCTGCAAAACACAACAACTTGCTCATCAACTTGTTTACATCAGCTGATTAGAAAAAGATGCATCACAGTCATATTGACCGAGCTTCCCCCCAACCATTGTGGTTTTAAATATGTTCACCACCACAGTGTGGAAACATTACGTTAGAGCTCAGTCAGACAAGACTGCGGCAGATAGAAATTCACATGTGTCCTTGCGAACGCCCACATTAACTCTGGTGTGGATGGTGGTTGAGCGTTGATTAACCCTGTTTGGAAAAGCAACCAAAAACTTTGCAAGTGGGAATAAAATTGGAGCAACCGTGCCTCCAAAGATGTGTTTATTACTCAGTTTTCATAATTCAGTTCTGGTGACAACGTGTGCCTAGAAATATGTTTTTTGTAACACTACATTCATGTAACGCGTTGGAGTTGCAAAGAGGTGATCGTTGTGGATGAAGTGCAGGATTGTCGCACTAAAGTCCGGAGTTTGTGTCCAGATTCCTGCAAAAAAAGCACCAAAAATTCTGCACATCTACTTCATGAGGCAGGTACGTAGGAGTGGGACGAGTATCCAGAGGTAGAAAAGATAAATTACCACACGCTGTCTAACTCACAATAGAAACATTTATTGCCTGCAGCAGGAAGGCATTAATGACATCAGTTCGAGGCCACATGAAAACGGATGTCATTAATGACTTCCTGCTGCAGTTGTGCAACCACTACCGGTTTAAGATGGCTTCTCATTAACCTGAACCATCTGCCTGATGAAGATAGTCAGTATTGCAAGATTTATTGGCAGAAAATGGCAGATTTCAGCCAATCATCTTCTCAGCGGAGAGGACATGATGCAGTCTGCACTCAGCTGCGGTGTATCAGACGGTGATATATGAGGTGAGGATTGATGGCGGTGTACAAAGGCTGCCACAGGAAGTGCCTCCTCCACTGTACTTCTGCAGGAGCTAATGATGGTGGTGATAGTGTCCAGGATGCAGAAGGACTGGGGAGTGGCACATTACTGCTACTTGCAATGTTTCGTCAGGAGTTAAATGAGTTCCAGTTCTGAAATTAATTGAATACAAAAAACCTTTCATGTGTCGCTCTATAAAATGCCTCAAACATACTCTCACTGGGTGTGAGATGGGGAAAGGGGAAGCAGTAAGGAGAATTCAGAGGTAGTGACCTTCTGTTTCAGGTTTTTTCCCACCGACAGCAGCCGTTGTCGGGGCTACGCTAAATGTTGAGCCTGCACTGCTGGTGATTTTTACAAGTCACGCCGGGACAAAGCCGGGCTGCGGGCGGGAGCTTTATGGTCCTGGCTGTCAGATGAACTTCATTAAATAAAGTGTTTATTGAGCTGCCGGACTGCTAACATTCAAGTGGAATTAACACACTTTACATCCACGTTCACACAAAAAGCACACAGACACTTTCAAGTACAAACTTTTGGGTTTTTTTTCTCTTTTCGTCCTTGAGAGTGGAAACAGGAATGTAACCCGGTAGACCACGTCCAGACGGAGGTCACAGACAAACCCAAATCAGTGTGTGTGAGACTGTGTGTGTGTGCCCTAAATCAGCAGACATGGTTTTGGTGATTTGCAGCTCAAAAGGCAACATAATTTTCAGTGACGTCTGAGATACCAACGATTAAGTTTTTGAACTTAATACTTAATTCCGCTTGCTTTTTAAATTGTCTATTTTTTCCTCCTGGGAAGCTCTTTCTAATCAATGTGCTTTATGTTTGCTTACATTGGTTTTAATGGACTGTTTTTACATTAGAAATAACTGCAGTGGATTGTGCAGTAAGGACCTGCTATACTTAAACGCTATTAAACAATCATAATGTAACCTAGATGTCTAAAAGCATTCCCACTTTCAGCCCATTCAGCTTGCTTTAAATGCAGACATTTTTTTAAACATACAGACGAAAGTTCAAAGTTGTCAGAAGTGATTTAGCAGTACAGTAAACTGATAGTCATGATGCCTCATTCTTCCACTGCATTCCCCTCATTGTTAAACTTTTAACACTGACTCTAAAGAACATACTTTAAGTGTTACAGATAGAGATGTTTATGGGTTTAAGACAACAGTAGAGTTATTGCTGATGCTTGTGGTCGAGTCGGGAATGAGCTTTTTAGTCTGCAGACCGCAGCGATGGATAAATCCTAAAATTATCCGAGTAGATTGACCACCAAACATCATCGCAGTTGGTTACAGGGCAGACAGACGTCCGTTTGCCAGGTCATGATTGCTCTGTGGAGGCAGAGTAAGTAGCCGAGATTGAAGCTTGTTTTTTTGTGTTATTTCTGCTCTGTGTGCACAAATCAGGTTGTTCAGGTTTAGCCCTTAAACAAGCTTAATCTGCTAATGAGGCGGATGGAGTGGGGGAGTGTGGAGGACAGATGTTGAAGGCTGTGGTGAGCCGCTGGCGAGGACAAAGGATGTTGTTACCAGTGTTTGACCAAAATGAGGTCTGAGGGCCGATACAGATGATGTGATTGAGGAGACAGACGAAAGAGAGAGGCTGCTGACAGTTGGTTTATTACAGATTAGTTCATATTTTATGTGTTTCTTGCAAAGTTTTACTCATGTTCGGGTGGAAAAGGCCTCTGAAACGACCACCATGGGACACAAAGACTCTCTACTGAAAGTTTCAGTGCTGGTTTTATGATACTTTGGAGTACACTCACATTATTGCCTTTAGCATCAACACTGCTTACTGAAAAATTGATATCAGATACTCTTTGAAAGGTCACTGTTGGTCTAGTATGAAACTATTGTCCAACCCTTCATTAACTTTTCCAGCTTTATTACCTACAGTTCTTTACTGCAATGTATTGTGACAATTATTTTTGGTTTTAAGATCCTGAATACACACGTGCAAAATGTCAAATTGCAGATGAAAGGTTTGTGAAGAAACTCCTCAGGTGATCTGAGAAGAGAGAATACTTTTCAAAGGCTGAATGTTTCTCCTGAAGGCTGTTCTGTCTCTCTGCCATGATTTATGAGTTTAGAGTCAATGCATTTCAACCTAATGATGTTTTTATGTGGCTTCAGGTGCAGCCATCCCTGTGGGCATTGATGTGCAGGTGGAGAGCATCGACAGCATCTCAGAGGTCAACATGGTGAGGAAGTCCTGTTTAACTCCAAGTATTCAACCTCAAGCTTCAATTCCAGCTTATCCAGCTTTGACTGGTTAACATACCTCATTAAGAATGACTTCAGGCAACTTCTGTCAACTGGTGAACATGGTAGACAAGTCAATCTGCTCTGCTCACTGAATTCAGTGTTCAGCTGTTAAATTGCAGATAATTCAACAGGCAACCCTGTTAAAGGTAAAAACTAAACAAATTTTATGTATAAGTTCATATTTGATTTTGTTTGACAGTGATCTGTTGAGGTACAAACTTTAGGATTTAGAGGTATCTATAGCGGTGTAGCTGCAGATTGTATCTCCCTCGCAGGTTTTTCCATTTATTTCTACATATTACAGCCGTTAAATTGAGAATATGCTGCAACCTCAAATGGTTGTGATGTCCACTTCAAGCTGCTCTGACATCACTTCCTGTCGGCCCGCCTCATCTGGTTTGCGACCCCCTCGCTGGCTCTGCTTTCAACTCAGCCGGCCACTTACTTACAAGTGCTTTATCGAGTTCCTGCAGCCGAGAGAGAGAGATAAATCGGTGGAGAGGACAACGTTGTCATGGCAGCTTTCACTGGAACGGTGAAAATATGCATGTAGTCCGTAGATCACTTCAGACCGCATTGTTGTCCTCCGGCTTCTGCAGGAAAATGTCCCTTTCATCCGTCACTGATTTCTTTTCAGCTCCAGTGCTCCCGAAATAAAAGTGACACCATCCTGAAGACATACTTGCAAAAAATGGCAGATATTTCACATGAAATGATTTTCCCTTCCTGTGTTTACAGAAAGCCTGAAATCCTTTTTTGTTTAATTTGTTTTTGTTCCAAGATTTAAAGGACACCAAACTGAGCCAAATGTGAAATAGAATAAGAAAATTCAAACGTAGGAACACTAATAATCAAGATACAAATAAACAAAAGTTGTGTAATTATTAATTAATTGAATGAAGCTGAGATACAAAGCAAATATCTGCTTTGTTTCTACCCTACAGGACTTCACCATGACTCTGTACCTGCGGCACTACTGGAAAGACGAGCGTCTGGCGTTTCCGTCCCGAAACAATCAGAGCAGGACGTTTGACTCGAGGCTCGTGAAGAAGATCTGGGTTCCTGATGTCTTCTTCGTCCACTCCAAGCGCTCCTTCATCCACGACACCACCATGGAGAACATCATGCTGCGGGTTTACCCCGACGGAAACATCCTCTACAGCGTCAGGTACTCACAGATGTTATAAAAGACATCCAAATACACCAAAGAGAAAGAAAATCCATCCAATCAGTGATGTGTTGTTTCACATTGTCCAAGTGGCTGCAAGTGAAGCCAACGAGAAAGTAACTGCAGTTCCTCAAACAGCCTCTTGAAATAAAAGTGTTCACAGCCTGGTAGAAAATAATGCTTTTGGCCTCTTTAACTAATTTAGGTGATTTTTTATGCATAATTAGGGCTTCCATCCACCAGTCTTAACCACAAATGTAAACCTCAAGGTGGCGCTAGAGGAAAAAGGATCGGGAATATCGTTAGTTTTACAGGAAATGTTGTTTTTGGAAGTAGTAAAATTCATAGAATGGGCAAAACGTCGAGCCAATTAAACTGAATAAGGGAAAACTTCGACCTGGTGGGGGCGCTAGAGAACAAGCCAGGGGATCACCTAAGTCTGTAGTATTCATCCTGTGGGGACAATGAATGTTTGTACTGAATGAAAATCCCTCCTGTAGTTGTTCAGATTACCATCCATAGATCTGTGCAGCTGTTACAGTGATTAATACACTAACCTGTTTCCATATTATGTCCTTTAAGGCTTCATATTTAGCTATCCTAATACCCCAAGAGGCCGCTTGCCTTTGCCCAACACCCCAGTATGTTCTGAATGTGGGAATGTTTAAAAAACCGACAGGAACTGAAGGTTTCTTTATCCCTTTTTTGCTTTATCCACTACTTTCCACTCTCCTACTCTTTGGCCCCAGAAGAGTATTTCAGATGTCACGCTGGCAAAAAGCAGCTGAAAATTGAGAGAGACTGAAACTACCTTCTGGTTTCCTTGGCAACAGCAGGAGAGGTCTATCCAGGACATGATGGATAACTGTAGTGAAAGCTTGCATTACGTGTTTGTGTGTTTCAGGGTCACTGTGACGGCTCTCTGCTCGATGGACTTCAGCAGCTTCCCTCTGGACACACAGAACTGCTCGCTGGAGCTGGAGAGCTGTGAGACACACACATACACACACACACACACACACACACACACATATACATTATATATACGTATAGACACTTCCCACATGTTGTTACATCATGAGGTGACACAGCAACATGTGTGAATGATAAACTCAGACGACTGCCAGCAGAACAAACTGTCTCTTTTTCCAGTTCTCATCTTTCCTCTGTTTTTCCATGACACTGAACACTTCCCTCGCTTTGTCTTTCTCTCTCTCTCTCTCTCTCTCTTTCTCTCTCTGTCCCTCCACAGACGCGTATAATGAGAACGACCTGATGCTTTACTGGAAGAATGGGAACGACTCTCTGAGGACGGATGAGATCGTCCTGTCTCAGTTCTTCATTGAGCATTTCCAAGCCTTCAGTGGCCTGGCTTTCTACAGCAGCACCGGTCTGTGTGTGTGTGTGTGTGTGTGTGTGTGTGTGTGGTGAAAGGGCTGAAAAACAAATATAACACAACCCGGCATTATAATTGTTTTTATTAAATGGCCAAAAGTATGTGATATGAGAAATCTTAATGCAGCAGCATACGATGATATTTTAGACCAGTGGTTACAATCGGGGGGGGGGTCCCACCAAATTTGAGGGGTCACCAGATGATCAAACAGTGTTAATACGTGTTCCTTTAACCTTTAATTAACTTTAAAAAGTATTCAAAACAAACAAGGAACAGAAGTCCGTCCCTGTTCACAACAAACAGGCAGATTAAACGTATCCCAGGGAGTTTTTAACTGCTTATGAAACAGTCTCAATTTATACTGATGCCTCTGTGACCTACATAAGCACAGGAGACCATCAGCGACATTAGCTATTTCTGTATAGTTATTCTTAAAGCCGGCTCTCTTTTTTTCTGTCAGGCTGGTACAACCGTCTGTTCATTAACTTCATCCTGCGGAGGCACATCTTCTTCTTCATGCTGCAGACGTACTTTCCCACCATGCTGATGGTCGTCCTGTCCTGGGTCTCCTTCTGGATCGACAGGCGGGCCGTCCCCGCGCGCGTCTCCCTGGGTAACAACATTACATCAATATCAACAAATCTGAGAGTGGAGATTGTGCTCCTGTTATGTCTGAAACACCTTTTTGCTTCCTCCTCCTGCAGGTATAACCACAGTGCTCACAATGTCCACCATCATCACCGGAGTGTCGTCCTCCATGCCTCAGGTAGCAGCTGTGTGTGTGTGGGTTATAACCTCACATATAACCTTTGTGTGTTATCTTATCATACTTGAATGCAGAGTCTTTGTCTCTTTTGTTGACTTCCTGAACTGCTCTGAATGTGCGACTGACCAGGTATCGTATGTGAAAGCGGTGGACATCTACCTGTGGACCAGCTTCCTGTTCGTCTTCCTGTCTGTGATCGAATATGCGGCCGTGAACTACTGCACCACTCTGGAGGAGATGAGGAAGATGAAGAGGGGGAAGGTGCAGCACAGGAAACAAACACACACACACAACAGGAAGGGAAATAAGAGGGAATCAGCACACGCATATTTTACTTAATGTCTCACTCTAGTGGCCAAACAGAGGCATTACACCCTCCTCTCACGCAAACTAAGTCATGTAACTAAGTACATTCACTCACTTCAGTACAGATTTACTTGAGTTTAATACTTGAGTATTTACAATTCATGACATTTTAGAGAGAAATATTGCACTTTATACTTATACACATTTATCTGACAGCTGTAATTACTAGTTAAAGGTCCAGTGGGTAACATTTAGGAGGATCTATTGGCAGAAACAGGATATCTATATATATTACAATCTACAACTACACCACTAGATGGCACTAAAATATACACGCTGGTCCTTTAAATTAAGATTTTACATACAAAATATATAAAGAGCCTTTTAAAACCTTGATTTAGTTGATTGAAAATATGAACATTTGATCCATTATTAATATAAAAGTATTGATATTGCAGCTCTAACTGCTCTCCGTACCGTTTTAGATCCCATCCACCTTCAACGCCAGCCAGGCGATGGCCTTCGACGGCTGCTTCCATGACAACGACATCGAGCTGACTCCGTTCTCCCGCGTCGCACCCACCCTGACCTCTGATCCCCTCACCACGCCGGCCCAAACCCCTGACATCCGGCCCACGGAGGGGACTCGCCTCCGCCGGCAGCGGTCGGTGCGTGAAAATGTGGACCTGCTGGTGAGCAACAGCTACATGATCGACTCGTACTCCCGTCTCGCCTTCCCTCTGTCCTACCTGCTCTTCAACACCATCTACTGGTGCCTGTACTCCTGATCCGGCTCTGCAGACTCTCCATGAACTCTGGTGAACTCTTGTTGAGTGTGTTGAGTCAGAGGATTCCTCCTCCTCCTCTCCACGCGGCTCCACTTCACTGAATTAACTCTTGATCTCAGGAGCCCCCCTTCAGCTTCATCACTAATCGTGTTCTTCACAAGAGACATAAAAGCACTCCAGTTCCTCCGAGTAGGAACCGTTAATTGTGCACAGTTTCACCCTGACGTGTGTCTCATGGGAGCGGGGTTGAGTCCTGACACTTGGAAAGTAATGGATCCTGATTAGTTTACACGTGACTCTTCTTTCTGTGCATCTTATTTCTGAAGGTTGTTTCACTTTTGTCGGTACCTTTATAGCTACAGGGGAAAACTACATTAGGATCAAACTTGTGTGAAAATGTTTCGTTCTCCCCCCTTTTTGATGAACAATGTGAGTGGAGCCAACCAACTACTGTACGTGTAATTTAATATCTTTTCTCATTAAATTTTTATCTTGCTCATGAGGATGTGAAAGTGAATTTATGTGTACTGCAGGCGCCATACTGGGCCTTTTTTGTGTGAGAAGTTTAATTTTAAAAACTTGCAGGGATGAATTAGAAACCACCTGGTGGCTCTTTTATAGGCTTTATAAGTCTTTTTAGACTCAAGAGATAAATAAATAAATAAAACAAAGTTCTCCAAACACAATAAATATATAGTTATGAAATCTGTTTAACAATCAAATAAGATTTCCAGTTGTTTTTTTTTTTTGGTGTTTTTTTACAACTTTTTATCCATTGAAGGATTTTTATATTTATATATTAATCAATTTTAAATAACAAAATAAGAAATAAAGTTTTCAGTATTTAGAAGTTTATGTTTGGATTTAAATCTACAGAGAGTATAATTAAACTGTTATCTGAATAAATATGAGCTTTTATTTTAAAAAATCCACATGAATATATATTTATATTAGTGATTTTAAAAGATTTTTTTTGCAAGATTGGTTTGTACTCAAATTCTTCTAGTATACTAATTGAAATACTTTTATTTTCAGATTATATTGGTTTACAATTAACACATTGCTAACACAGAGTGGGCTTTCTTTTAGCTAAATCCAATAATAATCTGACTACTGACAGACCAAATATTAAATAAAGGAAAATTTTAAAGTAATAGTAATAATAATAAAGTAATTTAGAAAATATGGGATAATTTTATACATATTTAATTTATTTTGAAAATTTTTCTGAGGGTGCTAATCCGGGGTGCGTTTGAGGACCTCCGTATTTCTAACCTCCTATTTCTAAACTTTTAACTGGCAGATTTAGTGGCACATCATTTTAGACTCTTAAACTGTAAATAAAGTTGTCAGCTTCCTCCCGGCATTTATTCGAAGTAGTGGAGTGGAGGCTTTAAATGTCTGGAAAAATACGATTTACATGAACTATAACAACAAATAAATCACAGAAAGTCTTAATAATTAAAAACATAATTTTAGTTTTTCCCGTGGATGTCGGGAGGTGCGTTTGCGGCCTCATGTCCTCAGTAAAAAAATAAACCCTGAATAAATAAACCTAAAATAAAATCAAAACATCACAATTGTCGGATTTTATTGAAACGTGCAGTTTCCATAGCAACCAGAGAGGTCAGGAAGAGTTAACGTCAACGGGCGGGTTGTCTTGCAAACGCAAGAGAAATCCCGCACAGCGCACCGCAACAGAGCCAGAAATCGAGCTTGACTTGAACGCAGCAGGAGGTGCAGGTGACAGGTGAGTTCCTCCTCTCAGGTAGAAACAGAGTCGGGACATAAAACCCGCTGTTTATAACGTTTAGCTCTGTTAGCCGGGACCGTTAGCCTCCTGTAACGTCGTTGTTATGGTTCAATTTACGGACGTTGGATAGCTAACGGTGGCTAGCTACGGCTAACTTCAAGTCTTTCTCACCCACTAACTTCTGTTAGTAAAAGGTTGTTAATTCAACCTGGAGTAGTTTTTAAAAGGTGGGTTAAAACAAACCAGACCTAACGCTCACTAAAGGTGCTTTTAGCTGCGTTTTTTTACTGCACAAATGGTTGTTTTCAGTCGTTTTTAAATGGGAGAAACTTATTAACTTAACTTAGTTTGTTACCCAGATACGTTAGGACAGACAGAAGATTAATTATACATTATTTCCCACTATTTAGGGGTTCTTTCATTTAATTTAACCCCTAATTCAATGTACAGCTTCTCACTAAACGTTGGTTAAAGTTAAACCAAACACATAACCTGATTTATAAAACAGTTTCACATCAGTTTATGTTGATCTGTTTAACTTCTGGGCTTTAAACCAAAATGTTATAGTGAGATAATTCAATTCACAGGAGGTGAGAACATAAAACACAGACCACTTACCTGTAATAAATCTGAGACACTTCATCATGAACCTGGAAAAAGAGTCAATACTCGACAGTTTGGGAGCAAGTGCTGTCCTGTTGTGTTAGAAGAAAAAGAGTGGGAACATATTTTAAACACATGCAAGGCCAATTTTATTTATATAGCTAAGTGCTTTATAAAAGTGCAAGGGCAAAAGCATAACAAAAACAACTAAAACAAATAATAAAAGCAAGCAAAAGCACGTAGGATTAAAAACTCAAAAGTCAGACAGGCAATAAACAATTAAACAAACTAACAAATAAATCAGATTTTAAAAGAAAATGTATTAAAAATCAGTTGTGAACAGGTGTGTCGTCTTTATCTGAGCAGCACAGAAGCCGATTTAACCTCCTTGTTGTAGAAGATTTGTCTTTTATTTTATTTTATTAGGCATTATAACAAACAACTCCAAGATCAGGACTCTGTTCAGTCGGCACTATTTACCAGGCCTCTTCCATATTGACTAATCTCGGGTGTTGTGACTCATTTCCTTCTCGCCACTCTCCCGCCCCCCCCACCGCCAGTCTCCGTGGTGACCATCGACAGCGGCCGCACTCGTCCCGTTGAGTTTACCCACCAGCCCGTGTCACATGACGTCAGACCAGAATCCACTGAGTCCAGAGGTGCCGTTAACGCTCGGAGCGCTGGGTCCTGGATACTACTACTTCTACCAGGTAGTGTTATATTAATCCTTAATACACTCCTGCAGTACGTAATGAAGTAACATAACCACACAGCAATCTGCTCCCATCTTCTCTCTGCATACATAAACTCATTTGGAATCAACTTCATTGTCAGTTTTCAGTCAATTTTATTTATATAAAGTCAATTTTATTTATAAAACCCCCAAATCACTCCCTCCTTAAGCTCTGGATTTGAATAAGGAATAAGGCCTTGTCGGGGGAGGCAGGGAGGAGGAAGCTAAAGCAGTGAGGGGCGAAACTGATGTGAGTCAAAGTGAAATGTATCAGTGGGAGGGAGAGAGGAGTGAATGGGAGGGAGGGAGGGAGGGAGGGAGGGAGGGAGAGGGCGGAGTGGACACTGCTGCATTACCGCTCTGTGATTGGTGGCCGCTGGGCCATGTGCTGACCCCTCTCAAACTGTAGCCTAACTAGGGCTCCCACATACATTCACACACACACACACACACACACACACACAGACAAAAAGTGGTGTGCAGCCCTCTGTTGAGTGGCAGGGACATGTGAGCCCCTTCACATTTGCTATTCTGGGCAGGGGAGGGGAAACGGAGGGAGGTGAGGGGAGGGGGTGAAGCAGTGGGGAGCAGAGGGTCTTTTCTCTTTCTGCATGTGGCTGAGCCATCGCGAGGAGCCGCTCATGATTTTGTCTCGTGTTGTGTAGGCTCTCAGTGTGTTTGGCCATAGCAGTCTTGTGTTTTATTCCCACTCTAGGCCGGAGAAGATGGGGTGCTGCTTTAGTAAGGAGCTCAACCCCGGCCTGCAGAATGAGAGGAGCGGTCTGTTACAGCCCCCGCTCCACGACGGGCTGAGTGAGGTGACAGAGCAGGTCAGGCAACATGCCGCGGCCGTAGCTCAGCATGTGTGCTTGGACGAAGAGAAGACACGTGTGGCCGAAGGAGCGGCCCAGAAGAAGAAGAAGCCGTCGGAAGGTAAAGAAAGACATCCGCAATTTGACAACAAAGTTGAGACCGAGGTGGTCAGCAAGGACAGCGCCACACCGACTGAGAGGGATTTAAAACCAGTAAGCACCGACAAGAAGAAGGAGGCTATTATTATCACGACTAGCACAAACATACATACAAACACGGACGCAAAGGCGGGCGTGACACACACTGCCAGGAGGCCCAGCGGTGAACTGGCTCCGTATAAGGAGGTGCCCAGTCCAGTCAGACAGAAGATTATTGACAATGCCACAATCCGGTCTCAATGGTTCAGTCAGCCCCCAGATCAGAAGAAACATCACAAACCATTGAGCGCTCGGTCGGCTCCTTCCAGGTTACCCTCCGGTAACTGCCAGGCCAGCGTCACAGCGAGTGAGGTGTCAGATGACCAGCTGCCGCCTCCGCCGGTCAGCGTTTGTCAGGAGACACAGCAGGATTCCCCCAAAGCAGAGCTCCAGGGTGAGGAGGAGGTCTGCGTCGTCACAACAACACTCGGTCAAGGTTTCGAAACGCGGACCTGGAGCTTCTACAGCATATGTTCCATCGACGCCGATGACCTTGAACATGACCACGTCGACGGCCAATCCCAAACAGCTGGAGTACCACAGTCACGGCACACAGCTGAAGTAGAAACAGCTGCTCTGCCCTGCATAGTGGTGTCTCCGGTCTCCAGCCAATCACACGCAGAGGCATCCAAGGTCTGTGACCAGTTGTATGTCACAGAATCTAAAACGACCCGCCAGTCACATGGCGAGGAACCGGCTCCGGCACAATCACATGCCGCAGAACATTCCTCCACCGCTCCGTCACAGACTCTCTCAGACAGTTCACTCTCAGCAGGGCAGACCACCGTACCTCATCCTGTTGTATCTCCACAGCCGGTAGACCCTCTATGTGACCCGCTGCCTCCGTCCAGCAATCAGATAAACAGCGAGGAACCTCGGGCGTCCACACAGGACAGCCCTCAGCCTGAAGGTCTGCCTCGCCACAAAGCTGCGCAGGAAACAGATGAGTCCAAGGATGAGATGTTGATGACGTCACACTCAGTTAAGGGGTCAGAGGAGTCTGTGTACGTGGTGAGTGTGTACTTGAAGGGCCACAGATCAGCAGAGAGACTCGTCGCAGAGGGAACAATCATCGAAGAGGAAGAATCGGATGTGAATGTGGATTCTGACTTTAACACCGTGGACGATCGTCTGCACGAGTCTGACCTGTTAACACAGCAGCACATCCAATGCAACCAATCGCAACCAGCAACTGAGACCCCTGAACCAGATACTTCCAATCAGGTCTCTTCAAAGCTCGACCTCAACCTCAGACCGCTTCACGAGGGGGAAGTGACGTTGCCTCAGTGTGCAGGAGAGATCGAGATGGATAAACTCCCCCTGCAGAGCGAGGCTATCCCTGTGAGTGTCCGAAGCCACAGTGAGGAGGGTGATGTTGGCCACAGCGGCACGGCACCTACGACTCTCACCGAAGTGTCCTCAGTTTCCACCGTCTCAGCTGTGTCGTCACTGCCCGTTGAACTGACCGCCCTCTCCTGCCACACGAACCTTCTCTCAGATGGAGAAAACACATCTCATTGGCGTGACTCCATCACATCGGAGAAATTAGACGTCAATTCAAACGATCCAACATTTGAACTGAGCAGTGTTAAGTTCCCCAGTCGAGATGTCGAACCTCTATTCACTGAATCTGACGAACAGCTCGAAGGTGCGCTGGGGCCTCTGAACGATGACTCTGAGGAGCTTATTGAGGACGTCCTCATGAGCGGAGACGTCAGACAGGCCGACAAAAAACCAAAACCGGCCATTTCTCAGAACAGCATAAATGTTGAGAAAGGTGATGTCACAGTTGGTTTACCTGAAACAGCTGAAAACACCTCTCCCCTGGAGACGAGTGACGGAGAATGCATCGTGTTGTCAGAGCCCTGCGATGCCTGTGCGGCTGTAAATACAAACATCACTCTGCACGGCCCCGAGGACCCACAGAGCAGCATCGAAGGTTCAGGTCTCAGTCTTCTCACGCGGCCTCCTCCTGCTGAAAGTGAGCTTTCTTTTACTACTTCCTCCACTCCACCTTCCTCCTCCTTGTCCCCGTTTACATCTTCTGAGGACGGTGAGCATAATTTCTGTCCAGAGGCTGAAGCTGATGCTACCGACAGTGGATGCAGAGAAACACAACTGAAGGTAAATCCACCAGAGGAGGTTTTCACGCAAGAGACAACTGCTGCACAGGGGACTGATATTGATCTGCCTCTTGCTATGCCAATCAAGCATGCATCTGCAGTAGAACCGCACTCCCAAACTCCTCAAACAGCCTCTGGACCCCCAGAATTATTAATATCCAATTTTTCCTCTGACTCTATGATGTCTGAAATCCAGCAGGACCCCGCTGACCAACCTGGAGATTCATCAAATGGCTCAGACAAAATGAACGAGATGAAAATGTGTACATCTCAGGAGGAGCACCCTGCACTTGACAATGATATTCCTCCTGAAACTCCCAACATCTCAGCTACTGAGACTCTGTCCCAAAGTGTGGAAGTCATTGCTGATACCAGCGTCTGTGACTCATATGTGATTCCTAATGACTTAAGCTGTCTGGATGACATAGCCTCAGTTCTGGACTGCCAGAAGGACCCCGACACGATCACCGTGGACCCAGGTCAGATTGACGTTTACGCGTCGACTCCATCGTACGAGATTCATTTCCTGGGTCACGGACCGTTGCCGACTGCCGAAGAGGGAGAGAGAGAGGGAGGGATGAGGGAGATGGTGTCAGAGCTGCTGGGAGAGGATGCGGACTCCTCCATCTGCCGCCTCTATCCCCAACCCTGGATCAGGCTGGGTCTGGAGGAGAGCTGCGTTGCGTGGGCCCAGGGTGTCGCTGAGGCCGAGCCCAGCCAGGGCGAGAGCCAGACTGGCACCGACTCTGAGCACATCCCAGCCCTGGTCTCAGAGCTCCAGCCCTCTATGGCTCTGCTGGGAGCTTACCCCTTCAGTACTGTGATGCCTCAGGGACCCTGTGTGTGGGACTGGCACACAGATTGCACTCAGCCTGTAAGTGTTCAACATGTGAGACAGTTGGGTTCAGTGAAAGTATTCAATTTAATGTCTTATCTCCAAAACTAAAAATAATATTTTGTCAGGGGAAAAAAAAACTTGTCTTGAGGTTCGGAGTGTGTCAGGAGATTACAGAGCAAAGACTGAACACTGAACATCCAGTACTGGAAGTCTTAAATACTCTTGTTACAAAGATCTTACTTAACAAGTAGTGATTGTTCCCACAGATGTTCTGGATGCTCACTCACAGATTTTTAAGACTGAGAAATAAAAAAAAAAGACAATAACGTGGGAACATAGACTTCTTGTAAAACAACAGATTAAGAGGGATTGTTCAATTTAAACTGGTGAAAAAGGTGCTAACACTTTATGCTTTATGTTGAATTAGCTGTAATGAGATCACATCTGAGAGTAAATCTAATCCCTTTATTTTGATAAAGTTGTTTTCTCCTACATCACTGTTTTAGCCTTGTGTGAGATTAAGGAGCGTTTAGTTCTATAGATTTTATCCTGTACTCTCTATTATACATTTGAGATTAGATTTTAGATGGAATCAGATTTACTGAGAGCTACTAGAGAACATTTTCTGTCACACACAACTAGTGTCTGCTATCTTATTGTTGTTTTTTCTTTCAAAGTAAATCATGTTTTTTTTTTTTTTTTTTTTTTAAGATTCTTCTAAATAAAACTGACTTGACTTTTCATATTGGACTAAAAATTGTGCACACTGTGTCTTTGTGTTTCAGGGACCTACTGCTGCACCTAGCCTTAACCCTGATGCTGAGGTATGGACCAATGATAACTTTAACTTGGACATCCCCGGCCCCGCCTACCTGCAGCCGCAGCAGCCATGGGTGCAATTCCCCAACGATCTGACCAATCACGAAGGTGGGCTGGACCTAGATTTAATCAAATGATCACGTTTCTTAATTTAAGTTAAGTCAGTGAAGTTATTTTGTGATGAGGAGTTTGTAATTTGTCGCTTGAAGAGAAATCGTCTGCGTGCACATTATGGTTCCGGTGTGGTGGTAAGATGCTGTGTGATTTATTTTTAGGATTCATGCCAGAGTTCGAGCTGGACAGCGTGGGCATCACTGAGGCCGTGGTTGAGGCAGATCCCAGCATGCTCGAGTACCAGATGCTGACTGCTGAAGCTCCTATAGTTAATGGAGAGCCCAGTGCTCCACCTGTCACAGGTATCAGTTTATATTAACTGTATTAATGTTTCATTACTGTAGTTTGTTTAGTTAAGTTTGGCTTTGTCTGCTCAGATTGTCTGCTAATGACTTCCTTTGATTTCAGATGAGGTCAAACAACAGCTGAGAACAGTTTTGGAGTCCTGCCTGACCAGGTAACAACTTCCACAGTCCTCTCGAAGAAGTCATTTAGATGATCACCGACCGAAAGCATAAAAACAATTTTCAAAATGTGATGCCAGTGCTCTGATAAAACTGGTTGCTGTTTGGTATTCTAGCCGTCATTAGGCACTGTTATTTAATCCCCTGCCACCGTCAGGATATTAATACAATTGTTTTGTTTTGTTGGTGTTTTGTCCATCATGTGCACCATGTTATAACCTTTGCAACCTCTCCAAACATTCCTCCATTGTTCTCTTCTGTCCCTCCACAGGGAGCACCTGGGCAACGACCTGTACCTCAATTCTCAGATGGACAGCGACCAGTATGTTTCCATTGCTACTCTGGCCAGCCTCGACAAGATCAAGAACATCAGCACGGACCTGGACCTCATCTCTGACATTTTGAAAAGTCAGTGTTGTCACTTTTTTTGTGGCATTTAATTTAATGTTACTATATGTTGGTAATCTGCGGTGAGTAGTCTCCACAACCACAGGGATGTGGAACCAGATAGATTAGTCTGAGGGTGTGTTTGTTTTTATTTGCTGCACTGTGAGGTTGAGAGTGACAAGAGTGGTTTATTGTTTTATGTAAGATATGAAAGATATTCTCTGTTCTCATTGGCTGACAGCGCTGCCGCTGGTCCAGGTGGCTCCGTGTGGTCAGAAGGTCCGGCCCAGTCAGAGTCGATGTGTCGTCATCCTGCGTGAGATCCCCAACAGCACACCTCAGGAGGCAAGAGCCCGCCTACCACACCAAAACAACCTCTCTCCTCTCCTCTCGTCTCCTCTTCTCTCCTCTTCTCTCCTCTCCTCCCCTCTCCTCTCTTCTCATCTCCTCTCCTCTCACCTTGACTTATTGGAGTTTCAGGGGCGTATTAAATGTAAAGTCAGTATGTGACAGTGTGTTTTATATATATATATAATATATTGTTGTTGTTGTGCAGGAGGTGGAGGCTCTCTTTGACGGCGAGGACCTTCCCAAGTTCCTGAGCTGTGAGTTTGTGAGCAATGACAACTGGTTCGTCACATTCAAGTCAGAAACAGACGCACAACAGGTAAAATACAGCCTTCTAATAACTGAAGTAAAGCATTTGATTTTAGTAGTGAATAGTCTGCAGTGTAACAGTAAGATGATTAAACATGTTGTACAATGTGAAAACTAAATAGTTGAGACAGTCACACACGCCGTCTCTGTGCTCGTCCTCAGGCCTACAGGTACCTGAGAGAAGAGGTCCGGGTGTTTAAGGGAAAGCCGATCATGGTGAGGATAAAGGCCAAAACCATGGCGGTCACTTCCTACGCTCCAAAAAATGGCTACAGACCCGCCCAGATGGACGGCAATCATTACAGCTCTTACTTCCCGCCTAACACCTACCAGCAGCACTGCCCCACCCACATGCAAGCACAACAGCTGTACGATTTCACCAGTGAGGTGTGGGCTTCAGCTGCGACAGGATACCAAGACTGTGCTGAGGTGAGTCCTTTTTATGTTGAACTTTAATGACAGGAAGTTGAATATTTGTTCTTGTGATGCTGCTGCTGTTTGAACTGAATGTGTGAACAGTAGCTCTGTGGTCTCGTCTGAGGGTTTAGGTCTTGTTATGTCGTGAGCAGTGTGATTTTTAACTTGTTGTTGTTTTTGTCTGCAGCCTCAAACGTTGATGAATGACTTCATGAATGGATTCTCAACAGCTTCCAACTTCAAACCTCACAACTCACACAGACCGAGGTAGCTACTCATACCCTTATTTATTATAAATCATTATTATAAAAAGGAAACTTATTGTTCATGTTCTATTTATTAGCTGTGAAAATATTTAGCTCATTCTACTCGTCTGCCTGTTGGTTCATTGTTCCTTTCTCCCAGGAGAGGCTCACGGTGGTCAACCTCTGGAGACCGTTGGCAGTCCAATCAGAATGATTCCTCACAGTCATCGGAGCAAGGGCCAGGAGAGCGCTCCTATTCTCCGACGAAGCCGGAGCGAGGGCGGTCGCGGGGCAACCTGCGCCGTCAGAGCAGAGGTGGAAGGATGGAGCCAACTTCTGATCGGGGAAGGTAAGTCACATGATACCTGTTGTTATCCTTCCACTATCAGGATAAATAATGTGGATGGACATAGTTTATATTATAAAGTATTGGACCGAGGAAAAAATAAATAACAGTATAACGAGTATTACAAACAAATCAAAGTCATAGAGACTGACAGGTAAGATATGGACCTATAAGAGGAAATCAGATTCTAATGACAGACAGCAGATCATGCAGCACTTTATTATTGCTGGTGTCACAAAGAGCTCACGAAGAAACGACTGATTGCGAGCATTAACGGTCGAGGAACAGGTTAGGCGTGGAAGCACCCATATAGATTAAAATATAACTCCAGCCAAGAAATCCAAGTGGTAACGTGATTCAGCTGGGGAAATAAGCTAAGGAAAATGTAAGCACACAAAATAAAGTAATGCCTGAATTGTGTCTGAATTAAAAAATCAAGTCGTTGCCGTAGTTACAGCCACGGATGCTGCAATGTAAAGAGAGCAGCACCTATACCTAATCACAGTTGTTAAAAGCTGCAGCCCTTCAGTGTCTGCCACTACACACACAAATACACGAGCGACGCCTTAATGCAGAGTATAAATCAGCCTTTTCACAAACATCACTGCTGCGCTGTGTGTCTCTGAAGGAGAGGAAACTTCAGCCAGAGGAGAGGGAACCCGAGGTCATGGGACAAATCTGCTGGAGGCAACCGTGTAAGTGGCGAGTGAGCGTTATTAGTGTGTGTTCAGTTTGTAGAGACTACGTAACCGACTGTGTGTGTGTGTGTGTGTGTGTTTGTGTAGAATGCACCAAGTCAGTCGCCTCCTCGTCAGCCGTCTCCTCCTCTTGAGCTCGGGCTGACGAGCTTCCCTCCTCTTTCTCCGGCAAACACTGCCATAGCAACGGTACCTGCAGCTAACAGCAACGTCAAGGTAACCAAGCCTCTCTCTGTCAGAGACACACACACACACACACACACACCCACACACTGTTCATCTGAGTCTCATACTCAAAGGTAAAAGGGTCTCATACTCTTTAAACCCAGACTGTGTCAAAGCTTAGAAAAGGCCTCATATATAACACACACACACACACACACACACACACACACACACACACACACACACACACACACACACACACACACACACACACACACACACACACACACACACACACACACACACACAGCACTGAACTGTCTCTTCTTCCCCACAGATCCCATCAGTGCCAGCAGTGTCACAAGAGCCTCAGCCACTCTTACAGCAGTAAGTATCTCTGAGAGAGCAGCTGGATGGGGATTTAATTCTGCATCAACTGATCTGTTTACGTCTATTTTTACATTCTTTACTGTTCACTTACACTGATAACACGATCAGATCTGCAGCCGCAACCTTTTCCAGTTATTCTTCTTTTGTTTGCCTTTTTTTTGCTCTTAAGCTCTTTAGACTTTTATCAGTTTTTGCAGTTGTCATGGCGCCAGCTGTGCTCAGAGCTGTGTGTGTGTGTGTGTGTGTGATGAGATTGTTCTGCTGCTCTCTGTAGGAATGTGAAGGAGCATGCGGAGATGACCGGTGAGGCCAAACCAGCTCAGCATACACAGGAACCGGTCGCAGTAAGATATACCAACACATTCGCCTTCTTTATGGTGTTGATTGTTTTTTATTTCACCTGTAATGGACCTCTTTCACAGCAGCCATTTTGACATGAAATACAGGGTAAATACAATTGTTACTAATTATACTAATTAAGGTTCCATTTAGTGCAGCAGAGTGTTTCAACAACATCGGCTCTCTGACTCTGAATAACATGAACCCTAATTACAGTTTGAGTAGCTGCGCTCTCTTTATGAGCGTTAATGTTAAACAACCAATATGAAAGGACACCTGCGGCTTCCTGTAGAGTCTACACGAATGTTCTTGTTGCTTTTAGAGATAGATTTAGATGCGGAGGTGCTGGTAAGACGAGAGGATAGTGTAGCACTAGAGAAGTCAGATGAGTGTTTGCAGACATTACTGTGCGGGAGAGGAAAGGTGTCTCTCACTGACCCCACCTTGTGCTCTGACCGACCAGGAGTCCAAGAAGCTGAGCTACGCCGCGATCTGCCAGAGGGCGTCGTCCAGTGAGCCGCCGCCGCCGCCCGCCAACCACGCCTCTCCGGAGCCAGAGCTCACCCTGACCTACCCGGGCCAATCCGAACCGGCTGTGTTGCCACGGTGATCGTATTAGGTGGAGAAAAAAAGACACGCGGGAACTTTTTTGTTTTTTTGTCCTGTGTCATATCAGCTGAAAATGTATTATTGTACTGTCCCCCTTTCACACAAAGTAATCCACGTGTACAGAGTCATTCACAGTGCGGGAAGATTGAATTAAAGCAGCAAACGCAGCCTTTAAATCAGCTTCATTTAGGTTCTGGATCTTAAAATATTGCTGACATTTACTGAAGTGTGTACTGGATGGGGGTTTGGGGGGTGGGGTCTGACTGCTGGCTGGTTCAGGAAGGGCTGGTGTTGGTCTCGGGTCACTAACCACTCAGTTACAGACGACTTTTCAGTTTTTTAGAGCGGAAAAAATGTAAAAGTTTTCTGCTACTTTACGTTAGTTTTATTTCTCGGTTTGTAGTTCAGATGAGTTTATCGAGAGCCAGGTTCCATTTTGATTTAGTCTTGTTTTTTCCGATCGCACTGGCGCTTCTTTTCCTTCCGTTTGTGTGTGTTTGATGTTTTCTCGCTGTACAGGATGTTCTGCTTCTGATATTTTCTTTCCATACATCTGTGTTATTCTTGAATCCGCAGGGCCGCTGTGGGCACACATGATGCGTTCTCACTAAATATTAGTCTCCCAGTTTCCACTTTCACATGTCGATGAAGAAGAACCAGTGTGTATTAGTGATCGCTCACCCCTGAAGAGCACTGAAGGATCAATGCTTTATCTCTGCATGATTTTTTTATTTCATTTTAGAATTTAATTTAAGTCATTTTTATTTATGTTGAACAGGGTTGCTTTTGTGTGTTAGAGCTTTAGTCTCCCCGCGTGTAGAGAGAAGAGTGTAGCTGATGTAGCTCGGTGTCACAGGGAGGCTCACTTTGTCCGACAGCGTCTCAACTTGAACTGTGTTTGAGATCTTGAATTTGACTGTGAGTCCGACGCCCCTCGTGTTTAAAATATACCATTTTTAAATGTAAAAACAGTTGTCCTGGGGAAAGAGCAGGCATGGTTGTGGCACATGTTACTTTGTCTGTACAGATGTACATATTACTGAACAAATATTAAAGAAGTGCCTTTGAAGTTTAAGGTGTTGGTTTGTTATGTGTTTATATATGTGGATGCACTCATACGTTGCATAAAAGTGTGAATATATTGTCCTTACTGGGAGTTTCTGCCGCACTGACAACCCAGTGACGTTCACGCCCTCGGTTGTAGTTCTTCCTCACAGCCAGCAGATGGCAGATGAGTCCCATTAAACCTGTCATTACTCCATTATGAGGCCCCGCCACTTGTTTACAACGAGGATGATTTGATTCCTGGAAGGTTATAGGTCTAATGAATGTGATGAATAATACTAATGAAATACGCTGTATTAGAAGGGACAAATTGATGCTCACTTATGTGTCGCTGCCACATTAAGGCTTGTTCAGTCATACGGGACTTAATTAAAGGCTTCTTGACCTTTAATATTAATAACATTATTCTGTTGAGGTTTAGTTTCCACATGCAGATGTTGAATAAAGAATGACCACATTAAAGGGAAATGACCAGAGCAACGGAGAAGACAGGCAATCTGTGAAATAGAAGAACATCACTGGCCAAACATTGCTTAATTAAATACGACCGTGCAGACGGCGTTTGGCTTGAATACCAAAGATAAATCTGCTGTTTCTACGACTGAAAATGGGTCACAAGCTCTGTTTTCTGTCAGAATCTACTAAATATCTGCCTCACCACACAGAGAGATTCACGTTTGTTCTTTAATTATGCATCATTAGGTCGAGTTTAAGCCAAATCAGAAGGAATTCAGTGAGATTGTGCTCTGAGAAAAACCCCATAAATGGTAAAAATTTAGGAAAGTCATGGCTGAGAAACAGGGAATCATTCAGGTGCTGATGAAGACCATAGACTGTGGCTGAAAGCTTCAGAAAATGTCCAGTAAGTGACTTTGTGCTGCTCCAAACAAGGAAACTACTTAATGTTTAACTCCCTACTCAAACTGTTACACCACAATACTAAGCCCAGCTGGGTAGTAACTCATTACTAGTTATAATATTAATTACCACTGTAGCAAGGAATGTAACTAATTACTAATAAAATAACTAATAACCCCCCCCCAAAAAAAATATTATTTACAATCCAATCACATCCTTGGATTAATTTGTGTAATCGTGGTGGAAATATATTCACATTACTTTGATTTTAACAAACAGTTTTTTAATCGCCTTAAATCTGAATTTTGGGGAGAATAAAGAAAAGTAATATAACTAGTAATGTAACTAATTACTGTTGGCAGAGAGTATATATGTAATATGTAAATAAATATTACTTTTGAAAAATGTATTTAAAAAAAATAAAACACTGACCTGTATATGAATTAAATAAAAAAACATAATTAAGTTTTATTTGTGTTTTATTATTATTATATTATTATTAATAAAAAATAATCAAATTATTAATTTAATAAATATTAATTAAGTATATTATCTTATGTGATATAATAATCTTTAATTTACAGTATTCTTAATGTTTTGGTACAATCAATAATTAATAAATTAATCAGTTAAATAGAGGCAGTGTGTGATAAAGGTGTGATATGCAGTGTATCACTCCGGGCTGTTAGGTGTGGTTGCTCGCCGCGCCCCCTGCTGGTGATGACCGGAACAGCCTCTCTCCCACCCTCCCTCCGTAGAGTCACGTGACACCAGCGGCAAGAAGCTGCAAACGGCTCTGACAGGCAGCGCGAGCCTCATCATCACCATCACTACCAACCGCCACAACCGCCGCAACGGCAGCGTCGAGAGAGCCGACCGAGCAACCGGGGTCTTTACCGATTCGAGGAGCCCGCGGCGTCATGGCGGGCCTCCGTTAAACAACCCGAGACCCAGATTTATCCTCTTTGTTCTCCCCCTCGACGCTTCGCAGTCTCTCCTTCTTTTTTTTACGCGCCTCCGCCGAGGAGGGGCCGCCGAGGAGAGGAGCTCTCCCTTACCGAGCGAAGGAGGAGGCGAGGAGCGGCGACAGCAGCAGCAGCGGCGGCGGCGGCGGAGGAGGAGGAGGAGGCGGCAGTTGAACCAACCGGGGGGGGGAGGAGGTGTTTTCTACGGTACGAGCCGAATGGCGGACCGTGAGGCGTCGCCGATACCGTTGGAGATCCGAGCCCGGCTGGCGGAGCTGGAGCTGGAGCTGTCAGAGGGTAAGAGATTAATACAAATCCTTCCTCCTCCTTCCTCCTCCTCCTCCTCCTCCTCCTCTTTGCCCCCTCGTTATCCCGTTATCTCATCACCACCACCATCATCATCCCCATCCACACCGGAGCCTTCCTACTAACGGAATCTAACCGTTCATTCCTGCGGCCCCCCTCCCTCCTTCCTCCCTCCCTCCCTCCCTCCCTCCTCCTCCTCCTCCCGCTCCTCCCATCCAGATGTTTGTCAGCCAGGGACCGGCCTGGCCGGCTCTCTGTAGCCGGGATAGGATGAGGGCAGAGCGGGAACACACTGCGGGGTTCGGCCGCTGCTCTTTGTCTCCGCGGTGGTGCTGGTTAAAAAAAAAAAAAAACACACCCGACCGGCCAGCTTTGCCCGATATGGGTCCGAAAACCAACCCGTTGTTTGACCTTGAGATGTTGACACAATCAGCCGAGCCTACCTGTGTGTGTGTGTGTGTGTGTGTGTGTGTGTGTGTGTGTGTGTGTGTGTGTGTGTGTGGTTTAATAATAGCATTGCGATGCAACGCTGCGTGACTGAGCAGCACAACAGGGGCAGTTTTGGCTTTTGATGCCCCCGTGATATCTCAGTCTCTCCTGCCTCCTGTGCTTTCTGGGGCCTGCAGAGCAAGCTGAGGAAGAGGAGGATGCTTGGGAATATTTTCCACCACCTCCCTCCTCTTCCTCCCTCCTCTCCTCTTCCTCCTCTTTTCCATACACAGATACAGCAAACACTCTCTTTCTGTGGGAGTCTCAATCACAGCAATCCACCCCTGCTGTTGTTCCAACGTAACCCCATCTCTCAGAGAGGAGCAGGGGCATTTTCTGCCTTATATAACGGGGGAGGCATATTTTATTCATACAGGCTTTGGGAAGGCCTACATTGTGAGGGAGCGAGCCTGGATACATGCTGGATGTGAGCCACCCTGTTGCCTTAAAATGTCCATTTCTCGTTGGATGAATGTGTGCGAAGGTGTGTGTGTGTGTGTGTGAGAGAGACACACACACACAGATTTGTGTGATTGTGATTCGTCGCAGCAGACGAAGGGTAATTATGTTGCTTTGCTTTGCAGTAAAATAAATCAGATATTGCGCGGCTGAAGGTGAAGATTGAGCTTTTTTTTTTTACCCGCCTGTCACTTTAGGAAGGGGCTGCGAAACCTGCAGTGAAACCTGCCTCACCTGCAGCGATGTGCAGCTGAGGAAAACACTGTCTCAGGGTTTTACTGGCTATGACGTAGGGTAAATGTTCCAGGGGTGGTAAATTCTGGGGCAAATGCAGAATAAATTTAGCGTGAAAAGTGTCAGAAAATCAAGAATCTGCAGCTTTAAACCAAAAAAAAACCAGCGTTAGCCTTTGAAATCCCCCGAAAGCAGTCAAACCTCGACACATCAAACTGTCCCTGTTTCCTTCTGATCAGCCTCATCATTCATAAAAGCCTTTATTTTCTTTCACTGCAGTGACGTACACACACACACACACACACACACACACACACACACACAGAGGTAAAACTGTGGCAGCTGCAGGCCCATCCGAGCTCCTAATCCAGCCGAGAGTGTTTATCAGAGCAGAACCTGCTGCTGGCAGATGTTATTAATGATGGAAACGGCGGGAGGAAGTGGGGAAACGTCACGCCCGAACGTCTGACAGCGTGAAACACTCCAAACATTCAGGTGTGTGTGTGTGTGTGTGTGTGTGTGTGTGTGTGTGTCGGACTGGCAGGGTTATTGGATGAAGCCCGACAGGTCTCCTGATAGTGTGATGGACGTGTGAGTGTGTGTGTGTGTGTCGTAAACAGAGAAGGTGTTGGGTTGTGTGTTGATCACCATGGAGGGGAGAGGTGATGTGGCTTTACAAAATAAGAGCGTTTTCGGGCTGACAAACAGTTAAAAAGAAAACCTAAAGATGTTGAGTTACGAGTGGAGGCAGTTAGCTGGTTGATGATCAATAGATTGAGAGAAAATGAAGCGGCAACCATTTTGATAATCAACTAATCACTGATGTTGTTTTTTAAAAGCAAAGATGCCAACAAATTCACATATTTCAGCCTCTCACATGTGATTATTTGCAGGTTTTTCTTGTTTTCTATCATAGTAAAGTAAGAAGATGTCACTCTGGGAATCGTAGTTGACATTTTTTGTTCTTTTTTGACGTTTTTTGGATCGTTTGCAGGTTTAATTGTTAATCGTTAGTTACGGTTCTTACTCAAATTACAATTATATGAATCAGAGAAAGCAGCAAAATTCTACATTTGAGCATTTTTTCCGCTCCATAGATCTTCGCTTTATCCGCCCTGTTGGTGATTAACTCGAGTTGAAGAACAGTTTTGAAAACATGCGAAATAAAGATCAACAAGTTTCGAGCAATCTTGGCGTTTATTTGAAGGAAATCCCGAAGCTCAGGAGCGAAAAACTGTTTGAGAAAAGCAGCAAATTCACACATTTTAAGAAGCTGGTTGACAGTTTTTACTCAATAAATCATCACTTTAATGCCACGTTTGTGATTTTCTTGAATTAAATAATTAAATAACATCTTGAAAACATGCAAAGTGAAGATCAACTTCAACAAACTGCATTAAGAAAAGCAGCAAAATGTCCTCGTTAGAGAAGCTGAAACCAGAGTGTTTGATTGATCTGCATAATGGTTTGTCCGACTGATCATTTCAGCACCGGTACAATCAATCCATAATATAAAGTTTGAAGCATTTGAAGGAATCCCGACTGACAGGGAAGTAAAACAAGTCTTCTCAAGGATTAACAAAGTTTTCAACCCACAGAGACCTCTGAGTGTTTGAGGACACGGAGCCATCACTGTTATTGAAATCCAAAGTAAATGAACCTCAGGCAACAATTTCCTGTCAGATTTTGATGGTTAGCGCCGTGGGGACGAAACTTTTTTTTACTCTTCGTCTTTGAGAAGACGGAAAACCGGCGCTCCACCTGTTTATTAGATAAACTCAGCAATCAGCCGAGCTCTGGCAGATAAGCCTCTCTCTCCCGCTCCCTCGCTTAGTGTCGCCTAAATCACATCATCTCCGCCGTATTACTGTGACCTCTAGGCATTAAGGCGCTGTTCTGGAGGCGCTTTTTGGAAGCATTTAGCCGGCGCTCTTATGCAGAGCGACTCACAGACGGGACAAACGGAGCTGGTTGATGGACTCTAGCAGGAGGGAATCTGTTACAGGACGTTCCTCTTTGACTACAAAGGAGTGTCTGAGGAAACTCCAGCGCTGAGATGTCCAGCAGACCTCAAACAAACCGTTAATGTCTTACAGGGTGAAGCTGGAGGTGCTTTCGGTGTGTTTAAAGTCCGTACGGAGATTATTCTGTGGATTGTTTTGCAGCAGCAGGGTTTTTTTTTGTGTGCGAGGTGTGTTTGAAGCCGTCGAACGTGTTGAATATTAAACCGTCTGACCCCGGGAGAAACAAAGAGAAACTGATTTGAAACCAGGGGCTTGTCCACACATCCATATTTAATCAACAAAGTGCTGCTCAGGTGTGAAAACTGACATATTTCTCTCTCTTCTGCTAAATATTTCACAGCCTATCAAAAGCTCGGTGTTTTTACCGAGAGGTACCGAAGGCGGTTGTGGTGCTTCACTTCCCAAATTCCTGCAGATTTTTTGGGGAAAATGCAATAGTGCAGTTTCTATATTTCCCCTCCTATTAACACTCTGGCAGCCCTAGTTTCTGTGTTTGTGCGTACATACATACAACAACAACGTGCATCTGTGGCCTGCAGCAGAGCATTTCAGGTCAGTGTAGCCTTGTTTTTCTGTATCTGCAATGCCTCACACTGCACAAAAGAACAAAAAATAATAAAATAATCACCATCTTTACAAGAGATGCTCATGAATAATCTATGATTCATTATTCTGTGTCGTGTAGTGAAGTTTATTAAGCTCAATGAGTGAAACAAATTTACCTCTAGTTTTTTCCTATTTGAATTAATAAAACGAGATGTTTCATCAGTAATGTGACGTCACATCTGTAGGCAAGCACAGCTGTCGTAAGAGTAAGGGTCCATACAATATATAGTTGTGGTATATTATCCACAAGTAGAGTCTGTATGTATTTATTTTACTGGTTCTTATCAGTGAGTGTTCAGAGGGTCTGTGGATGTTTGAAACTCAACATCTGTCCTGATTACGAACGTTATGAATCCGCCCTTAATAAAGCTCCAATGACGAGTCGATCTACAGGAAATTAACTTAAATTAAATTAACTTAAATTAACAGGAAATTAATTCATCAATCAGAAATTGTTTAACAGTCTCTGCTTCCAGCTTCTCAAATGGGATTTTCTCTGTTTTCTATAATTAGAAATCGAATGTTTTTGGGTTTTGGACTGTTGGAACTTGCTATTTTTAGACACAAATGAAAACTATTAGTTGCACACCAACTGGAAGATGTCCACCGAGATGTATCTGAGTCCAGCTCAGGAAGTCGGACCAATCAGAGAGTTTTGGGGTGTAACTTGTTTCCTGAAACTCATAAAACACACAAACAATCAATCAACCATTAAACTCACAGACCCCAAAATAAAGCCCGGTTCTGCTGCTGGATGTAGCTGCTTTTGGTCAACAGAGCAACATATTATTAGTATTATTTTAAATTTTTTTTATTAAACAAAAGAAGCTCAAGTACCTAAATGTTAGACTTCATCTGCAAACAAGCAGAACTAAACTTTAGGAAATACTATAATTCTCATTTATACCTGATCACAAAACCTATTGCCTCTGAATATGATCAGACCTCGAATGCCAACTTTTGGTACGTGAGAGTCGTTCATACTCGTTTCAGTCAGCACCAGTTAAGTTTGGAGGTTTGACAGCCGCCCTGATGGTCAATAATGTTCAATAATGTTCAATAATGTTGGCTAAATTTAACAGAACGAGTCACGGAACAAAAGCCGTTTGTGTTTCCGGTTCAAAAATCGTAAAGCAAACCAGTGACAGCTCAGTGAGGGGGTGCGTTGGTTGTGTTATCAAAATAGAGCAGTTGTCAGTCATTTGTAGGAAGTGACGTCTGTCTGCATCAGACGCCTGTTGAGCTTCATCACGCCACAATGAGCAGAGCTGAGCTGTAGGCTGCATCTGTGGGAGTGTTGTATAATAAAAACTCCAAGACGTTCTGATTGACTGAAGATCAATAGCATGCTTTCACATTACTTAGATAGCAAAATAATTAATAAAACTAAACTATAAACAGGGCTCCTAAACAACTCCACTGAAGCAGGAGTGCTAGACGTGTTGAAGGACTGGTGGTTGTAGTTTTTAAAGGAGCAATTCTCAAAAACCCTCCCTGAAAATGAGAAAAAATAGCTCAGTTGCAGGTTTATAATGTAACTTTTCCTCATTATCTCTGTTAAAAAACACAAAATTACATGTTGTTTTTGTCATTATTCAATACAACAAGTTGTTGTCCCTTCATGCTACACACACAGGACATAGCAGATCATTTAGTTAACATAAAATACACTTAATAAAACAATATATACAGTTATTTATCTGCATACATACATTGCCAGTCTGAAAATGATTGCGCAGGGCGTCTGGAGGGGAATGTACACAGCAGGAACAGTAATGACTTTAGGCTCTTTCTTTTATAGGCAATACATGTTTCAGCTATAAAGCAGTAGTCTGAAGGAGCTCAGCTACGGTTGTAACTCCTCTTACAGGAGGACTAACCAACCTTTACTGATTATAAGCTGGCAAACGATGCAGCATCTTACAGCATCGGTGATCGTCTCCCTGCCTACCTGCGTCAGATCTTTTATTATAGTACAAACAGTAAAAACTGATCAATACGCTGTAGTCGGGTCAGACAGCCAATTACAATAGAGATCTAACAGGTAAAATATCTGTGCTGGAAAGAGTTTTTGGGTTAAGTAAAGTTGTTTGACAAAAAAGTCACTTTTTGAACTTCAGACAAGACAAATGTCAAAAAAAAAAATCAAAACAAGAGAAAACAAGCGATCGACCTGAACCCACAAAGTCACAGCCTCTTACTCTCTGCTGTTATCATGATTTTCTCTCTTATGATCTTCTAAGGCTGCCAATTTGTTGTTACAGGTAGCCAAAAAAAACAAGAAAACTGAAAATACTTAAACAATTTCACATTCAGCAGAAATAGCACTGCAACTAACAACCTTTCAGTCTATAAAATGTAGGAAAATTGTGGAAAAATCAGTTTTCAAGAGCCTAAAGTGACGTCTCATCAATGTTTTATATCCAACCAAACATCCAAACCCAAAATATATTAAGTTTATGATATAAAAGAGAAAAAATACAGCAAATCCTCACATTTGAGGGCCTGAAACAAGCAAACGTTTGAGACATTTTTTCCTAAATAAATGAGCAAAACGTCCAAATGTTACATTAAATTAATGGTGACTGAATTAATTGAAGTTTATTTCAAGAAAATCCCGAACCTGCGTGAGTTTTATCTGTTTAAATGTAACAGTTTAACGAGATCAAATCGAGGAGTGGGAGAGCGGCGGAGACGTGTCACTGGTGCTGAGACAGTGAATGGATTAAGTGTGAGACACTAATTTATGTAATTGTTGAACCATTTGTGTCGTTTATTAAGTGAAAACACTGAACGCTCGTTTTAGCTTCACGAAGCAAAGAGCGGCTCGTAAGGCTGCGACTTTGGATGATTATATCAGTATTGATTGATTGATGAACGGTTTACCCTTTAATGTGTCAAAATATATCGACAAATACACATCAGAAGTTATCAGAACCCACACTAATGTCGTCAGACTGCACCTTCAAGCAGTTATCAGCTGAAAAAATGACCTTAATGATCAGTTATTTATCAGAATTGTTATTGATACGTTTCTTGTTGCTCAGCTGGTCACAGAAAATGTTCTCTTTTTTAGAATAAAATACAAATTGATTCATTTTTTGTGCAAGTATGCAACTCCATGCTCCATTAACTGTGGCGTGTCTATACTCTTATTACACTGTTAGATCTAATAATTGATTGCAGAATTGCAATGATTAGTCAATTAATTCATTAGTCGACTTGTAATTTAATCTGCAAAACAATTTTTAAAGCAAAAATGCCAAATATTTTCAGTTTCTAGCCTTGTAAATATGAAGACTTTCAGATTTTCTGGACTGTTGGTCAAACAAAATGAGACATTTAAGGACTGCTGTGTACCACATGGTTAATCAAGAAGTGATTTAGCTAATTAATCAGTAATAGAAATAACTGTTAGTTAACTGATTAATTGAAAGAATAATTACTACAATCAGCTGGATGTGACCGATGTCCCAGGATGTTTCCACTGGTGGCATCTTAACCCACTGATCCACCAAGGGCGCCCTGGTTTTCTGGTTTCCTGCCGACGTGGACGTGACACTTGGCTGCCGCTGCAACTGTGTACGTGTGTGTGTGTGTGTGTGTGTGTGTGTGTGTGTGTGTGTGGCCCCTGGCTCCGCTGTGGACACATTGCGTTGTAGAGTCAGTGGACGGTCCGCAGTCCACACGGGTTCCTGCATGTGAGTGTGACAGCCCCAAGGTCCCAACGCATGACGCATGCTTCAGTCCTCAGTGTGTGTGTGTGTGTGTGTGTGTGTGTGTGTGTGTGTGTTCCTGCTGGAGGTAGATTCGGTTACCATGGTGGCTTTGTGGGTGGACTGGCTGTTTATGATGATGTGATAAGGAAGAGAGAGGGAGAGATCAAATAAAAGCAGGACGTTGAGGATAAAGACAGCAGAGGAGAATTCAACAGAGATGAAAAGGAAGGAAGGTAGATAGATAGATAGATAGATAGATAGATAGATAGATAGATAGATTAAGGCTGCAGTTTATGTGTTGGCATTCAGCTCTTCTTTCTTCTGTGTAAAGCTACGACTTTTTAAAACCTTACGAGAGTGATTGTTTTGGATTATTTGTGAAATCTCCTTGATAGAACATCTTTTTGGTTACAGACTGAACAATTAATCAGTTAATTAAGATAACATACTAATAAAATACATGAGAGTTGTATCCATGTACTTTACATGTCTGGATCCTTTCAGTTGTCTTCATGACGTCCTTTCTGTATTTATAAAGATGAATATGTTTGATAGATTTTTATACTAATGCTGATACGACGCCTGAATTTCTGTACCAACACGCTACTTCTTTGGACGCCTTACTCCAAGAAAATACACATAAACACATTTTAATTGAACAAAAGAAGTGCAGAAGAACACACGCAGCTGTACAAGAACTTTCACCTGAACAAAACAGTCGAAAATTGACCAAATCTGATCAAAGAATAAGTAGACCAGCCAGTTGATGTCAGTTTGCCTCTGTGGTACAACATCTTTTAGTCGGTACAATAAAAGTTCTGCTAGATGCCTGATACCCGTCCGTACACATTTCCACCTGCTCTAAAAGAGTAAGGAGCAGAAAATGTGTTGAAAATCGAAAACCACCAACTGTAAATGTCAAGTTTTAATACCCAGAATCAAAGAGTGAGGAGACGTAAATAGACCAGAATGCAAAGCTGCATAACAACACAGATTGGGGCGGGTTTTGAGAAGAAGGTGCAGATTTTCTTGGAAAGTCAGAAGTAAACAAGGCAGGAAAATCTGAAGAAAGAAAACATTTGATCACAGAATGACTCCCAGAACGCATCAGATATCATCATCAGATCGGGCAAAAATCAACTTCTATCGAATTGTAAATGACACACAATTCATTCGGATGAATTCAAACTAGTGACGAAGATTTTCCAAGTTGACTTGAAGTCGTCAGTTAAAGCCAATAGTCAACATTTATGATATTAACTTCATTATTTGAATTCATATCAGCTGCCTTTTAAATGCTAACAACAAACGAGAGACTGAATAGTTAATTTATTTCAACACAGTATCACATCACTCCAGACTCGTTCAAAACACGGAATAAATCACTTCCAACTTCACAAAACAAAGCCGACTTATCAATGCGACGGGTGATCTATAACGTTACTTACAAATTAACTTGCGACACCTATGCTAACTCCTGTGCTAGTTCCTGTGCTGGTAGTGTAAACAAACCCTGAGCTCCCAGACAGGTAGAGTCAGCTACATAG